CGATGCTGCCCACGGCATGCTCGGTTTTCTGGGCTTTGTACTCGGCCGTCCAAGACTGCAGTTGCAGCGATACACCGCGAGAGATCTCAGATACCGGGGTATCAACTCCTGCGACCTCCAAGCTAAGCCCCGTTGATTCAAATGAGAATGACAAAAGCCATGGAGGAACTTTTCTCAGTGGGCTGATCTTGCGTTCATTGAAAGGCATCGGAACTCGCTTCTGTGATTGAAGGTGGGCGCGGAACTCCTCAAGGACCTGGCGAATTCCTCGATTGACTTCGCCGTTAATCATATGTACAGAGCAATCATTGATACTTCCAGATGCAATGACGCACACTTCCGGGCTTGCGTTGAGGTGTGCTTTGAGCTCCAGGTTTTCTGTAGTAAGGAGGTTATGCTTGCTTCCAGCGGGTGTTTGGTAGTAGAATTTATGAGATGCAACGCGATAAACGGATGATAGCGAGTAGTGTGCACCACCTTCGGCAGAATGCACGGATTCGACATCGAGAGAAATGGACGAGATAGACGAAATTAAAAGGTTATAGTCATCGGGAGTACCAGACTCCTTTTCTATGGGGAGGACAAATCGAATCACAGGCTCATGAACGGATAGTTTGATACTCGCCTTGGGAAGAAGACGAGAGATCAAGTGATGGTTGCTTCGTTTCTTCACACGAGTAGATGACGCTCTGGCTTGAGCCAGTTTCAAAAGACGGGAAACATGCTTTGGTTGCAGGTCGAGCGACGGAGATGTGATGACCAAGTTGGCGAAAAGGACGTTTAAGTTTCGCTCTTCCATATTTTGTTCATCGAAGGCGCTGACTGTCTTTGAAGGCAAAGTGGTCTTAATCGTTGTCGTAGCCATGGGAACATAGAGAATATTGTTCGTCTCGCCAGAGTCGTCATCTAGGCTAACCGACAGAGAGATAGCTGCGAGTAAAGCCTGATGAGCAACGTCATTTCGTTGGAAGTACATGCGGTGTTCAGGGCTCTTCTGGTCCATGCGGTGAAGGTCGATGCCAAGTTCGTGCGAAACGACATTGAGAAATACAGGATGATCTTGGCCGGAGAGCGATTGAAGACCTCGCGAGAGTCGGAAGAAACTGAGGGCAACTTGGATCTCTTGGATACCACGGAGTAGAGAGCTGGCAAATTCTTTGGAATCTGCGACAGTCTGCACAATCGAGTTATCTCTGCTCCCGGGCTTGTCCAATTCCTCCACGAAGTCCGCGAATGACATCTCGTCGTCGGTCTCGGTTGGCAAGGGCTCCTTGGTTGCGGCGAATTTCTGGGCCGACTTGATGCGCTTCAGGAGAATGTTGAAGTCATCATAGGGGATATGCAGCCGTCCAATCTTCAGCGCCACAGACGCATCTCGAAGTCCTTCCAAGTCCTTGTATAGTAAACCGTGGAGGTTCACACCTACATTGTCCAATACCTCGATCGGTTCCCGACCCTCCACTGCAAGCAGAACATTCTGTACATTCATAATCCATTCTGCCGGTCGCTGCTCTTGAGACATATCCTTTTTGCGACGGAATAGCTTGCCCCGCTCCACCATTTTACTTCGGGTGTCCACGGCTAGCGAGAGCAATCCAACCTGAACCTGACCAGCTTCGAGAAACTGCACAGCGGTGTTGACAGCAGTCACATCTACCAAAGCTAACCAATTGATTTGCCGATGAAGCCTCTTGAGGCGCTCTTTCACCCGGGTCAGGGTCCTCCATGTTTTGCTCCGCGGGGTGGACGAGTCGGGGGTCGCATTGTCTCCTTTCGGGCTGGCAGGGCTGGCAGGGCCCAGTTGTTCTCGGGTCGGGTCTGTTTTCCCTCTGGATAGAGTCGCCGTGTCAACTGTAATCTTCAGATCGGTCAATCGAATACTGATCCATGTCGGCTGGGCGAAGGACGGTGGGTGTAAGGAGAAACCGAGCCCGCGGATTTCAATCAGGAGACCTTCTCGCGGAGCATAGGCGATACGTCGGAGGGAAAAATAACCGATGCGTTGGATTGAAATTCCGGTAGCAATGCGCACGATCGCGAAGACGAAGAAGGACGATAGGTAGAGCAGGAGGAAGCCCACCAAGATCGAAGTCGGGTTAAAGAGGGTCATCGCGACGTGCGATCAGCGAATGCTGATCTGTCGAACAAGAGCAGACAGCAGTACACGGAACATTGAGCGATGTACGGAGGAAAAGGTAGGTGTGAGGGTGTCAGAGGCTAAAATAAAAAGTTGGGTAAGCTCCGATCTTTTTGATCCTACCTCGACTGTTCCGGGGAGGGGGGTCCAGAACGAGGTACGAAATTGTGTTAAGTTCACCAGTGTGCGTGCACAAAGGAACTAGTCAGTGGCTTCAGCTTCTCAGTAAGAGAAGCACCACACACCAAGCTTGATCCAGAGACAAGGTAGGTGAAGCATGCTTATGCAGATCATAGGAGTCTGGAGAAAGCCAGATTCATGGTTCGGACGCGCCGGAGAAACTGAGAGCGGAAGCCAATCTGCCAATCTGCCAACTGGGCTGATCTCGGCACCGTCATACTCCATAACTATACTCCGTAAGGTGGTTAATACTATGTACTTTGTACCTTTTACTTGTTACGAGGACTTCTACTTCTTACTCTTACTTGATGTAAGCATGGAAGATAACACATGCTCGCGTGCCATTCTCCCTTCCCCCCGAAACCTCGCTTACCCCCCCCGTGAGGCTCCTATGATTTCACTGTGCAGCAATGGCCGCCCCCCTCTTCCGGTTTGCGATCGGCACGCCTTGATTTGACCCCCTTTTACTTGCTCAAGATGCGTAAATAGTACATGTCTTCAGCGCTTGGTATCGTACACACTATGCAACTATACAGAATAAATATGGTCCCTATTGTTCTCCCCCTATTCCCGGCCCCCCATGTGGGGCAGTCTGACACGTACTCCGTAGAAGCAATAGAGAATATGTCAGCGAATGCACACTCTGTCTGTGCGTCGCAACCCCCCTAGCCCTCTCATTGCCAAAACAGGTCTGGTACAGCGTCGTACCAGAGCCGCGGTGTGCCGGAAGTTTGGAACGAACGAGTAATGAAAATGGAAAATGAGATGTGTGGACGAAATAGGGCCGACTTATTTGGCGGCGAGGTCGGGTACTGGGCGAGTGCTCTCCAGTTCTTCGATCTTCTCATCAAGGAGTGCAATCTCCGCCTCGACACTGAGCAGCTTTTCATCTAACATGCCCCGGTATTCTTCATCGGACAGATGCCGAAGGGGGATCCATTTGGAATCGGCCATCCGTTGCATCAAGGGTTTGCTGGGTGTGGGATCTCTTCCCATTTGCCAGGCATCAACCCTGTTAAAGGCACTTTGGCCGCCGTAGCCGAGCAGCGAGAAAATTACCAACCCAGGCACAAGTCGACCACCTGTAAGAATCGTAAGCATTTCTTCCAAACGATGATCTTCAAAAAAAAAATCGATGAGTTAAAATTCTCGTACCCATTAACCTTGTTACCGTGCCGCCGGATAGACCGCCACACAATGCACTAACATAGGCTCGGTCCTGCGGCGAGGCTTGGTCCTTGTAATGATGTTTGATGATGTTGCTTCGCATCCCTACCGCCAGTTCCTCGAATTAGTGACTGCGCGACAAGTCGAACAGGTGCATACGAAACATACACCAAAAGGTTGAACCGCAAGCGAACCAGTGAATGCCGCATGATAGGGAATGAATCAATGGATTGGGGGATTTGATGACCCCCACAGTCCCTCCATAGATCAACCCAGCAACTCCTAAATTCCCCGGGTTAGCTTGTTCATATTCACGCATGGTTTCTGAGGAATGATTCCTCAGCTTGAGCTGGGGATAAGAGACGAACCGCTCAGAGCTCCCACTTTGGCAGCGGGTAAGAGAGAGTTCGACATGGGATCAGCATGTTGGTTATTTTCACCACTCATCTTTTGACCGGTCTGAGAGAACGGCAAGCATTCCCTGATCCATGGGAAGATGGATGGCAGATCAAAATGAACGCCATTGCGATACCGAGATAATGGTCACGTGTATTATGTAATCAGTTTCATTCACCAAAAATAAACTTGGCCACTTCGTTTCTGTGTTTACGTATAGATTTGAGAGGTTTAAAAGTAGGAAAGGTTCTATGTTGTCTTTTTTATATTCTTTACAGAGCATGGACTTCTGCCGGTGCTGGTAGCTGACCCTGTAACTAGAAACTTGAATATACTAGTACAGCCTGATGTAGCACAACTTGAACTTGAGCCATATATATTTTGGCGGAGTCGGCTAAGTATTATGCAAGTTCTATTCAGGTACCTAGGTACACCGTCGTTGAACTTGAAACCTCCAGATCCCAAAAGGTCATTGTTAACACCAGTAGTAATTGTTATGAGAGCTTAAGTTAACAGAAAGAGACTCGAAGGAGAAAAAAAAAAAGAAACAGGCTAAACGAAAACAATAGCCCAATAAAACCAGTCTCCAGACTACCCCAGAGGATTCTAGACGTCGACCTACCCGGGTCCAATGAACAAAGAAGCACAAGCCTTAGTGGGCGATCGTAGGGACCCACTGCTGGAACACAGTAAAGTTTTGAGTGAGTGAGTAAATTTAATTACCCAGGATGCTATTAAAAAAAACCAGTAGCAAACAGGGTAAAATATTGTACTACATCCAGTGCCTGGTAGTGAATCCCTGGACTAGCCATAGACGGGTTGGCTCTGATGGGACTAGCGGCACCACTAAAAATTATCACGGATTAACTAACCCGACCACTTCCATCGTGCAGCCCCGATTGCCGACTTCCCCTCTACCAACTTTTCCACTTCAACTCTGACCGACTGACCTTGTCTTTTACGACTTCCAGGTCATCTCCCCTACTCTTTCGCTTGACTCCTGGTTCTTCGCCCCGGGTGTCTTGAATTTTTTTCTTCCGTTTTTTCCCTCAAACCCTACTGTGTGAGAAGCGCGCACCAAGACCGCTTGCGCGTTTCTTGACTCCTCTTAACCGCAATCATGGGTAAGTCAAGACCGTGAATCTTCGTTTTTTCGACACGGCCAGCCTCGTTTATGTGTTCTGCGACTGGTTCTGTCGGTGATTTTGGACCCCCTCAGCTAATGATTTTCCCCACCAGCGCCCGCAAAGTCTAAGGCCCAGAAGATGTCCATTGGGACCTTCTTGGCTGATGAGAGTAAGACTTCCGAAAAACTCGAGAGAATAATGGAATGGAGATTGACATCTAGATAGGCCTTGGCTCTTGGGCCGACGAGATGGAGGATATGCCCCTCCCCAGTAAGTCTTCAAGACCCTCCCCCACTTTGGCCTTGTTGATCCAGTTGCTGACGATATATTTATTTGTATAGGTGGTATGTCTTACTATTTCATTCGCCTTCTTCTTGGCTCATACGCGCCCGAAAAAAATGATACTGAGACCATTTATTAGGACCTCCTACTTCCAGCTTCGGTTCTCGCCCTTCCGGTGGCATGGGTTTCGGTAGTGGCATGGGCGGTGGTGGTTTTTCTGGTACGGCACCCTCGACGATACGCCTGAGACCTCGGAGATATACATATGATTTTTCTTCTTGCAAGTTACTAACCTGATCTCAATGTTTAGACCGTGTCGAGCGTGGTGGATACGCCGTCCGCGAGCAGCTTCCTCTCCCAACCGAGCCTCCTTACACTGCTCACGTCGGAAACCTTTCCTTCGAAGCAACCGAGGCGGACATCTCCGAGCTGTTTGCTGGCTGCAGCGTGACAAGTGTCCGTGTCGTCGAGGACAAGTTGACCAAGGCTCCCAAGGGATTTGGTTATGTGGAATTTGAGACCGTGGAGGGCTTGCAGAAGGCTTTGGACCTCTCTGGCACTACTCTCCAGGGACGCACCATCCGCACCAGCATCGCAGAGCCTCGTAAGTGTCGAAAATATCCCCTCTCAAACGAAAACACCAAGACTAATAGACCTACAGCCAAGGAGTCTCGTATGGAAGGCCGCGACCTTGACTGGACACGCCGGGGTCCCCTTCCCCCTGCCCCCGAGCGCCGCATTCCTGAGCGTTCTAGCTTTGGTCGTAACATGGATGCTGCCTCTGACGCCGGCAGTGATCGTGGTGGTGCCCGTCGCAGCAACTTCGAGTCCGATGGAAAGTTCCGTGATTTCGGCAACTGGGAACGCAAGGGTCCTCTCTCTCCCCCCGCCGGTGCCCCTCCCCGTGAGGGCGGCCGCCCCCGCAACACTGAAGAAGGTGGTTCTAGCTTCCGCCGAAACTCCCCTCCTGCTTGGGGTGAGGGTCGCTCGCAAGACGGTTCCCGTCCTCCCCGCCCAGACCGTCCCGAGCGTGCCCCCACAGCTGCCGACATGGACAACCAGTGGCGCAACTCAATGCGCCCCGACCAGCAGCAAAAGGAACCCACTTCCCCGACTGCTCCTGCTTCCCGCCCTAAGCTGAACCTGACCAAGCGCACCGTCTCTGAAGCCCCGACTACCCCCCACCGCCGGTGGAGATTCGAAGGCCAGCCCCTTCGGTGCGGCCCGACCCATCGATACCGCCACCCGCGAGCGTGAAGTCGAGCAGAAGCGTCAGGAAGCTGTCCGCCAGAAGAAGGAACAGGATGACAAGATCAAGTCCGAGAAGGAGAAGTCCGAGAAATCCGAGAAATCCGAGAAGTCCGAGAAGCCCAAGCAGGCTAAGGAGCAGACCACGGAGAGCAAGGTCGGCACGGACTCCAACAAGGATGCTGTTGAGCCCCCCTAAGGGTGGGGGTAACTTCGAGATCCTCCGGCGGGCCGGTGGAGAGGACATGGCCGCTGACAAGGAGCCCGAGCAGGCTACCCCCGCGGCTGCTGCTCCCACGGAGGCTGCGAAGGAGACCGCCAATGGTAACTGGAGAAACGCCGAGGCCCCTGCCGAGGACAATGATGGCTGGAGCACAGTAGGCGCTAAGCCTCGCAACACCCGTCGTGGCGGCCGTGGATTCTAGGCCTATCGATACCCTACACAACCTCCGCCTCTCGCCTCGACTGTGACCTCTTGCGTATCAATGGATCCGATGTCTTGGAACTCCGCCTGTTGTTCGCGACGACACGTTCCCGGGCGATTACCAAGTTCGGGAACCAGGGTTTCCATTATAGACGCTATGGCGTCGTTTGATGTGGCTATGATTCTTGCATCTGCCCCACGGCACAAGTGCAGACGACGGTAGTTGTCCTGTCTTGACGTTCTTCCTCTTCCACTTCTTTGTTCTTACGATCTTCTCCTTTTTGCGTGCCGGGCTAGATTTCCCGACATACATCTAGTCTTTGCTCTCTGATGATTTGGCAGTCTGAAAAGTTTTTCTTCCGCCTCTATTTTGTGATGTCTGTGTTGCTGTTTCGCTATCTAGCTACTATTCCCATGCGTGATTCGTGTGATTTGCCCATGACCATTACAGCCGATGCGAAATGAAGATTCCCGTTTCCTTGTTTTTTCTTGTTTCTCTCTCTACTTTGTTCCTTTTTCCCTTTCCATTCTTCCTGTCTGGTTGCCTCAGGATGGTCTTGTTAATGAGCCAGTCTGCCCCAATCTGGACCAGCCATGCGAACACGAATGACTGAATGAGAGAGGGAGACATGATACGCTTCTCCTCCAACGGTTACGCTATGAATCCTTTCTCTTATTCTCGGTTCTCCCACCCGCCTCTCCCGCCTCTCCCGCCTTTCCCCTCCCCTCCTTTCCTCTCCTCTCCTCTCCTCGACGAGGTTTGGTCTGATCTCTGCACTGACCGCCAAGACTGGGTGCATCCCTTTCTCCCTAATTGATGATATCACCCCACGAGCGGAATGGTGGAGCCAGTGTTTGTGTGTTTAGTACTTCGTATAGATTGAAATGCAGTCTTCATTGACGGATCATTCACCGTATGTATTTGCATCCAGATATTATACTACGTACTGGTACTCTACCTAGTATTCTACTTGGCCCACCGCCTTTCAATCTCAATTTGATTGTGGAGCAATGTAGATATGCGCTAGCCAGGGCGGCCCATCCAATAATCCATAATCCTACTATGTAGATTCGACTCCTCACTGTTCAAAAGGTCGAGACCAAAGAGTAAGGTTAATGGTCCTTAGATCCTGCCTCCCCGCGTATTTTAATTCATCCAATTAACCCAATTTCCTAAAAGACTGGTGGACCTACCAATAGATGGCTCAGTAAGGGCGTTATAAATAGGTGGCACTAGTGACGGTCACACTGGACTAATTCGTATTAGTCCAACGTCCACGAGCACACCGCACATGTCCGTCGCGGGGGTATATGGGGAATGAGAGAAAGTCATACAAGGTGGATGGATTACGGAGTATGGGGAATGAGATATAGTATATGGATCTATTCGATGACGTGGTGTTTAATTAACAAATTTACAGATAAAATTAAACGGAGTGATCATTTCGGCACAACCCAAGAAAAATGGGAGGATCTGTTCCTGAGACAGGCAAAAATGGGTCTCCCCAGCCATTGGGCGAATAATACCGGTGGCGCAGTATGGAGTAAATCAACCCCCTTCAAAGGGTTCAGTCCGTCACGGTGTTTTACGACTTGCTCTTTAAACCTCTGTGTCCTCTTTGCTCTTTGCTGTTTGCTCTCTGCAGCTGCTGAGGTATTGGAAATTAGCATCAGCATCAGCATTCGCACTCACCAACACCAGCATCGACATCAACTCTTCTCCACTTCCCCCGTGTTGGTACTTTCACGGGTAAACAAGTCGGGGTAATACAACCGCCCCATGTTGTCATGTCGGCTACCACCACAACTCTCATGACCACCACTCTTGTTGGAACCCACTCCGCGATGACCAAGATCGACCCTTCTCTAGAGAATTCATGTCCAACATGCGGGACCAACGGTGCGCTGGACGCATCCGAAGCCCAGCGCCGGATTCTGGAGCTGGAGGGGCAGATCCAGGAGATGACTGCGCACTCTGCGATCGCAGGTAAATATCCCCTGTTGTGTTGCTTCGTTTCATTTCGTTATACCTTCAATATCCTCCTGAGATCAGCGCTGCTTGAAAAGAAGCAGAGGCGCCAAGAAACACCACGTCCAGACACCCTTCAAGAACCCCCGCTGACCGACTCTTGAACAGCTGGAAAACTCGCAGACTACGAAGAAGAACTGCGCAAACTGCGCTCACGCCCCATATATGACACACCGCGAAGCAGCTCCTCCGTACCCCCATCATCATCACACGGCGACAAATCACTATCACCCTCCCAACTTCCCGCCTCCCCAGACAACAAGTCGCAACCGCCGCAGCCATCACAACCAGTTCAACAAAGTCGCCTGACAACATTAACAAACCTCCTCCCCTATCGGCGCGGTAGTTCCACCCCAACCAGCGCCTCAGCCCCAGTCCCCTCCACACCTATCGCACCGATCACTCCATTCCCGCAACAAGCCTCCCCAGCCAGCAGCGACAACGCCGAGTTACAAGACGCACTGGAGCGCGAACAGGGTCTGCGGAAAGCGGCCGAAACCCAGCTTACACAAGCGAATACCGAGCTGGAGGAGTTAACAGTGCAACTATTCAGCCAGGCCAACGAGATGGTCGCGCAAGAGCGCAAGGCCCGCGCGAAGCTGGAAGAACGAGTTGCCGTGCTCGAACGCCGGGATATCGAGAAGAGGAGTCGGTTGGAGAGGTTGGAGAAGGCTATGGCGCGCGTGGAGAGAGTGAGGGCTTTGGTTCGACCTAATAGTCAGTGATTTGTCGTGACCTTGGTGTTCGTGCTTTCTCTGCCTTCCCTTTGATTATTGCGTTTACGACTGGTACGATTTCTGAGATTCATGATGGGTTTGTGTTTATGGGTTGGCGTTGGGAAATGTAATGTTTATCGGACTTTCGGTATGATTGATTCCCGCTTTCGCATGTTTTTGGAATGGGGTCTGGCGCAAGGTGGAATGGGGCATTGCATATCTTTCTTTACTTTGAATTTGTTGTTTTGTCTTGTTCGGGTTTGTGTAATTGTTGGTGTAACGCGGTTTTTTCTATTTCATATTCGATAAATTTCTGACATTCTCTCACGTACTTGTCGTTCGGATTCCATTTATAATGTGTCACACTAGTAGATCAGCATGCTTTCAATGTAGCTCTTGCGTCATGCATGACATGGCCTGGTCTGATCTGATGTGTAACCGCATCTCGACAACATGCGGGGTAATTCTGAAGAGCAAGGACATGATTCCGGCCCGAAATAGCCATGCAATTGTAGCCAGCTGGGATGTGAAAATAGTTGAGACCGACTCGAAGAGCAGATCGAGAACACTTTGGCAAACCAGGCCGAGCCATTCGGATGGTTGGACCTTCCCAGGCGCGGAAGTGGACACCGGTTGACCCCACCGGAACCGGGAGTCATTTGCCATGGCACCTTGGGAAATGTACTTTCGTGACTTTGTCCCTTCAAATTTGCTTGAATCTTATCCTGCCTTCATCTGGAGAGCTCTATATTATACATAGTCCACTCGATCTCATACGCAAGCATGTCTGTTGGAGTTGCCATCATCGGTAGTGGTACGTATCTAGCTAGCATCAGTTATAGTCGCGCTATTGTTTGACAGCTTACTGATACCCCCGCGCTAGGTCTCTTCGCCAAAGAGCAACATCTGGTCCGTGCTACTTGGTTCTCGTCACTATCATTCAATAAACTGACAATACCAATAGCCAGCTGTGCAAGCGGCCCCGGGCTTCACACTCAAGGCGATCTATTCGCGATCCTTGAACTCGGCCCAGTCTCTCGCTGAAGGTACAGCTAATGTTGATCTGTATTCCGAGGACTCGGGTGCTGGAAAGTCTTTCGACGATCTACTGGCTCGATCTGATATTGGCGCTGTGATCATCGCGTACGTTGAACTTTACAAATCTCCAAGCTATATGAATTATCTTACAAAATAGTGGACTTATGCATTGCTGACCTTTCACAGTCTACCGATTCTGGTGCAACCAGATTTCATCAAGAGAGCCCTTCTTTCTGGAAAGCACGTTCTTTCCGAGAAGCCTATTGCCAAGGATGTTGCCACGGCGAAGGAGCTTCTGCAATGGTACCAAGCCAATATCGATGCTAGCAAGGTCTTCTGGGCCGTGGGCGAGAACTTCCGATACATGAGCAAGTATATCTACGCGGCCGAGCAGGTTCAGAAACTGGGCCAGGTTCGCAATTTCCGCGTCGATGTGCAGAACTTTGTCAAGCCGGACAACAAGTACTTCTGTATGTCACCCCCGTGGATAAAGATATTAGTATGGCATGGGGCCAAACCCGGTCTCAAGAAATGGTGCTGACAATGATAATTCAAGTGACTCCCTGGCGCAAGGTTCCTGAGTATCAAGGTGGCTTTCTTCTAGATGGTGGTGTCCACATGATTGCTGGCCTACGCCTGATCTTGGGGTCTGCGCAGCAGATCAAGACTGTCTCCGCCCAGTCTTATCTGCAGCAGTCTTACTTGCCACCGGTGGATACAGTCGATGCAGTTGTCAAGACTAGATCCGGTGCTACGGGTGTCATTTCTCTCTCGTGGGGATCGCCATTCAATCGCCACTCGTTCGAATTTGCTTGTGAGAAGGGCTCTGTTGCCCTAAATTTTGACGACGTGGCTGTCAATGATGTCAAGTATTCAGTGCCATTTGACGGAAGAGGTGTCTCTGCCGAGGTTGCTGAATTTGCGACGTCGATTATCAATGGAAAGGCTGTTGAGAAGAGACAATCCCCCGAGGAAGCGCTGGCGGATCTTGAGGTTCTGGAGCAGATGTTGCAAAGCGGAGAGAAGCAGGGCGAGCCGGTTCAGTTGCACCTACAGGTATAATCTTGGATATGTTCAAGTTTGGAATATAGTACTATTGAGAGAGAATATAATTGCATCGAGTCCAGCTCATGCGTTGTCGAGGTGTAGTTCCCTATCATACCATACGATACCATGGCAGAAAATGTTCTACCTTAAGGTGGGATCTCATCGGGGCGGGGCGTGCCCCTGTAGATAGCCATGGAGACCTGATACATCATTAATATATCTCTCCTGTATCCATTCCCCCCATTTCTCTCGTCGTTCCATTACTCTTCTGCTTGACCATCTTCATTGATCAGGTAAGAGGCATAGTATAGATCCCAAAGCGGTAGGCTTGGCAGGGCTCGATCCACGGCTAGCCCTATGCTGACCTAATCACCAGCTCTTCGCTTAGCCGAAAGGGCACTAGTGTGGGTCGCCCGCCCACTCCGCTCAGTGCGAAGAAGTTTTCGAGATTGACTTCACTCCGACTCGACAACCCTCTACGCCCGGCGAGACGCAATACCGACAAAGTAAGTTGGATCGCACCCTCACGACCATCACCACCTCGATACTGACGATTTTCCTTTTCAAGATGGTCGCCGCCAAGCAGCACATCCCCATCGTGAAGAAGCGTATGTTCCCGACCCCCCGACTCCCGACCGTGCCCGTTCCCTCCAGCCTGGATAGCATCGCCTTTCGACCAACACACGACATGAATGGATTGATTGATTGGAAGAGGAGGAACATCGGAATCGACAGAGACGGAGGATATCTCGACAGATGAGGACGAACTCTCGAAAGTTTTTTTTTTTCTTGACGACCACCAAAGGGCGATGTTTATCCAAAGGCTTTCGACTATATTTTGCAACACAATCGGAATAAAGAATTGGAAGGACTGACATGGGATTACTATAGGCACCAACCGCTTCACCCGTCACCAAAGTGACCGGTTTATGCGTGTTGGTGAGTCGTGGCGCAAGCCCAAGGGTATTGACAACTGCGTCCGCCGCCGCTTCAAGGGCACGATTGCTATGCCCTCCATCGGTTACGGATCCAACAAGAAGACCCGCCACATGATGCCCTCCGGCCACAAGGCTTTCCTTGTCCACAACACCAAGGACGTCGAGCTCCTCCTGATGCACAACCGCACCTACGCTGCCGAGTATGTTCACCTATCCTACGAAGGGCAATAACGCCATGCGCACGCGCAAGCAAGGCAATACAGCTACAAAGAAGATCCAAAGCTAACCCACCTGGCAGGATTGCCCACGCCGTCTCTTCCCGCAAGCGTGTCGAGATCATCGAGAAGGCCAAGGCTCTCGGTGTCAAGGTCACCAACCCCAAGGGCCGTGTCACCACCGAGGCCTAAATGGACTGAACCCCAAAAAGTTCTGTTTCCTTTTTTTCGGTGTGGTATTCGCAGGAGCATGAGAGGGTCGGGGTTTTGTACGGTCGTGAATACTATCATCACTCTGGCGATAACGATTCCAAGGATTGTGCATGGCATTCCATGTGCGGCCCGCGCTTTTGGGTAATACCGGGCGTCGGGCGAAGAGAAAGTTCTCTGAAATGACAAACAAAAATTGAAAAATCCTCTTGCATTGTACGATGCCAATGCTTTTCATATACCCAAAGTGGTTTCCGAGTAATTTGAGCATCTGTGTATGAGTACTCGTAGTTGAGTGTAACAGTTGCGGAATGGCAATGGACCCATGGCCATTCGACTTCATTCCCAATTGATATGTATTCATTAGCTATACTGCTTTCAAGGTTGTACCTCAGCTGCATCTGGACTCTCTGTACTCCATATCTTGATACAATGATATGGTTTTAAACCCACCTTGAGGCAACCTTGAAGCTCGTACTACTATATGCTATCTATCTACTAGCACCCACCCTTTGGCATAAATGATGGAATTGAGTATTCTCTACTCCGTACTCCGTACTTCACGACAAGCCAAGTGGCCCCTGCATTTCAAGAGTTCCCTGCTTTGCATTTAGGGGCCTCGATGACGAGTCTGTGGCGATCCTCCGACCCACTCTACCAGGGGCCTCGTGGCTGCCTGCATGGAAAGGAGAGATACAGAGTCCACAGGAATGACAAGGGAAAGGTCGAGGAGAATTCAATCAAAACAAAATAAGACCTGTCTCAGTGACCGATGCAGTCAGACTGGATACATTTGAAACCGGGCGCTAAGCCACGGGATGGGGGTAATGCTTGGTCTGAGGAATCGAATCATGGTGCCACAGAGCGATCTGGGCCAATGTCGGTCTCAAAACCTGTCACGACTTCGAAACAGGCCCCCACGGTATCTTTAGTCTGTACTTTCGCAAAAGGGTCCTCGACGATCCCTCCGACAGTTCTCGCTATGGAGGAAGCTCTGCATCTCCTTCTCCTTCTTCCTCTCCCCGTCCCCTCCCCCGCCATCCCAGGATGTTTACCCTCCCCGTCCGATATGGGCGCTGGGTGCCTATTCTAACCCCGCTGGCTCTCCTCCTCCTCTTCCTACATCTACACAGCGGCCTGTGGAACAATTCGGCCCTCAATCGCGAGTCATCCGGCTCGACAGACGCCGATCACCAACAGAATGACCTCGCATCGGCTTGCCGACCGCTCCCGGGCATCGAAGACGTCCTCGTTGTCCTCAAGACCGGAATCACAGAGGCCCAGGACAAAGTCCCCGTACACATCCGCACGACACTCCGTTGCATCCCGCACAAATTGATCGTGTCCGATTTCGAAGAAGACATCGCCGGTCTGCGCACGCGGGACGTCTTCCAAAATGCCAGCGACGCATTGCTAGCACAGAAGGACTTTGCCATCTACCTCCGCGCAAAGGCGCAGGGCCGGGCGGGACTGCTGCAGCAGGACCACACGAAAGTCGCAAACGGCCCAGCTGGCATGATGGACAATCCGGGCTGGAAGCTTGACAAGTGGAAGTTCTTGCCGATGGTTCAGGAAGCGCGGGCTTATCGGCCCGATGCCAAGTGGTACGTCTTCCTTGAGGCAGACACTTACCCGATCTGGACGAATCTGCTGGCCTGGCTGGCGAACTTTGATTCGCAGAAGGAAATGTATATTGGGAACCAGATGCAGATTGGTGAGAATCTTTTTGCGCACGGCGGGTCGGGATTCGTGCTTTCTAATGCGGCCATTCATTCTGTTGCCGATCTGGTTAGCCAGTACCCTGAGCAGTGGGAGAAAATTACCGGTAAAGAATGGGCTGGCGATTGCGTGCTGGGAATGGCTCTCGCGACTGTTAAGATTGGCTTGACCTGGTCTTGGCCTCATGTTACTACCGAGTCTGTTTGGGGACAGGATGCCCTGGGCGAGGGATTCGGGAAAAAGCAATGGTGCTATCCTCCTTTTACTTTCCACCACATGACGCCTCCAGATGTAGATCGGATGTGGGATTTTGACCAAAAATGGTTCTCTAACGTATGTATCGAAATCATCCTTTTGGAAAGAGTGCTGATATGCTGACCTTTTTGCGCAACAGGAAAATAACACTGTTCTTCACTACGGTGACATCTTTACCCACTTCATTCGCCCTACGATGGCGCACTACCTCGATAATTGGGACAATAACGCCAAAGATAAATACGAAAGGTTAGATGACCAAGGTGCTGAAATCCCAATTACCGTCTGGGACTGCGCAGAACATTGTGCCAGTGAGCCAAACTGCATGCAATACAGATTCTCCGACGGCAAGTGTACTACTTCGCCTGAAGCCGTTCGCGGCACACCTGCCCGGGGTGTCGAGTCGGGCACGATGATGTGGCGAGTCGATTCTGCCATTGCTGCGAAGGAGAGATGTAACGAAACCTTGTGGGTGACTTGACCGGCCACTTTTTCGACCATTTCTTTGCGTATATACCTATACGTTTGACAAAATTCTCTTTTTTTTCTTTCTGTCTTTTGTTGTTTGGCAGATATACATTTGAGGCGCTGGGATTGATATCTGGATTTAGCGTGCATATACAACATAGTTTGCGATTTCAATTCTTGATCTATTTGTGTTTTTCAAGAAGAGGGAGGATCGATTCGTTAGAATCCCTACGTGATACTAGTATTTGCAGGAATACCTCAAAATTGCATAAAGTCCACAGCATGGACTCGAAACTATAAAATTTCAAGTTGGAAGCTTTGATATCCGCAAGAGCGATGTACTATATGTGCTATCTACTACTAGCAGGCAGTTTAGTATGATCTAGGGTAACAAAGATGGTATCAAGCTATTTGATAAAAGGAAACAACATGCACATCCAATCGTAAACATGCCGCCAAACTAATTCGCTGCCGTTGAGGTAGCAGTCGCGGCTTCTTGCTCCGACGACTCAATCTGACTAAAAGCCGGGTCATCCTTTGAGATAGGGACGTATCCAACACCAGTTACAAGAACATGGCCCAAGTCACCTTGATTCTTCTTTCGTCGACAGTTACCCGAGTTAGGAGGGTCATCCTCTGTCCCGATCGCAGGAGGAACGGTTCCGTGCCCGTGAACAATTTCCTCATCCTGAGGAACAGGGACCCAATCGGGAACTTCACTAGGGCCCTCCAGGCCATTCGGCGGAAGACCCCAGTTGGGCATCTTGCTTCGGTATTTCCAAGTGCCGCTCAGATCTCCGTAAGCGACAGCATGCAAAAAGAGGCCCAACTCATGGGGACCCGGGTCTGTATACAATTCTGTTCCACAGACTTCGCACATAGCGCCAGACAACCGCTCTCCCTTGCGCTTCGCGTACTCCTCAGAGGCAGCCTGTTGCTCACGAGCCATGATTTCAGCAAGCACGGCAGGGTTGGTTCCAGGAGGAACGTTTGGTGCGGCAGTCAGGTGGGTGCGGTAGGTAGCTGTATCAGCCACCTCAGTCTTGCCCATCTTGTGAAGTCGATCCATGATCTCCTCATCACGCTCGCCGTGGTCTTCATTGCGGGCCAATTCTGGCCCAAAGACTCTTCGGTTTGAGTAGATGGGATCGTTGGAGATAGGATAACCCAAAAATTGGAGATGGACACGAATCTGATGCGTACGTCCAGTCAGGGGATAACAGTGCACAATACTGTATCCTTCGGACTCATTGGTGAACACCGGGGGCGGAGTCGCGGCGATCGCGACCTCTCCCGACGGGCCACGGACTTCCTGAGTGGTTGTTGATGCGGCTGCCTCTGGGGGATAATAAGCCAGGCGACGGAACTTTGTAGTGGCTTCTTTACCTGTTGCGCGCACGCGGTTCAGCCCCAGTTTGGGGCTGACCTGCATGATGGGCTGATCACAGACCACGACGCCGTCCGGGAACTTGCCCTTGACACGCGCAATGTATTCTTTTTGCACAGATCGCGCTTGAAGCTGACTGGTGATCTTCAAGGCCCCGGCAGGGTGTTTGGCGATAAACATGACTCCCGAGGTCAATCGATCCAACCTGTTGCATGGCCGCGGCAAGAAATCCGCGCCACGCTCGGAGCGCAGGATTTCGGTAACGGAGTTATAATGGTATCGACCAGCGGCGTGAACCGGCACGCCGGCTGGTTTATCGATCACAATCAGGTCGTCGTCTTCGTGGATGATGCCGATAGGGAGGGCGGTCACAGGAGGTTCATGACGATGAATGGTGTGCGAGATCTTTTGGCCATTCTTGATCACGGCGTCTCTGCCCGCAGGCTTGCCATTGACGCAAACGAGGCCGTCGTCGAGTGCATTTCTCTGTTGTATATTAGCCACCTGGTCATTTTGAGCGAAAGTGCAAGGTAGATAGATCTCATACATAATACTCTGGTGGGCGATCTCGAAATTCGGAAACGAAAATGTCTTCCAATCGTTTACCCCGCCAGCGCTCCTTGCACCACGTATTAAAAGTGTAATGGTACGGATGAACACGTCGGAATCCACCTTCCATATAGTATGGCGCAGGCCATGGATCACAAGGTGTCACGACAACATCTGGAGGTTGTTCAAAATCGGTTGTCGGAGAGGCTTTGACGGGTTCGACGTTGACAAGAGCCATCGTGGGAGGTGGGGGAGGTCGTAGCTTTCCTCGCCGAAGCAAGTAGGCTGTAATGCGAGGTGAGGGAGCCAGGGAGACGCAAAGGGCGACCGTTGGAATTTGCACGGAAGTCGAGTGGCGGGGATGAGAAAAAAAAAGATTGGAGAAGGCGATAAGGCCAGGCACAGCGGAGAGTTTGGGCGTAAGCGTTAAGGTAGGTGGGGGCTTCCATCGATTCCCCCACCTCCAAATATCCCCGTCTGCCCCAGTCGTAAGGTACCCTGGGGTAGTTGCAACTCTTTAATCTTTACATATTGGATGTGCTCTTCAAACCTGGAAATGTCCCAACTTGATCACGGTCGTTGATTTTCAGATGAAGGCTGCATGTTCATTACATAAGCAGCAATCGACCTCGGTTCAACCATCTCCGAGGCAGCGGGGATGCAATGGGTATCATCTTCGCTGCTCGACAAGGTTGCCAGGCCATTCTTCCTCCTTTCCCTCCTTGAGTTAACTCGGGCAATTACTTTCAACACAATCGGAGCGTGAAAAAACATGGCTACTCCCGAGTTTCTAGCGAAGAAGGGCCGCACGCGCAGTGACTATGGCTACCATCAAGTACACCAGACAAGATGGTAAATGCTATAGGACCAGCTCTTTACATAATTTTCCACTAACAAGAAGCTTAGGTTCGACAACGACATGTATGCGCACTTGAACAATACCGTCTACACCGCTCTGTTTGACACCATTGCCAACTCCTACCTCATCGAGCACTGCGGCATGAACCCCTTCAGCGTCAATAATCCCACCCCGAAGAGTGCCGAGGGACAAGCGTCCAACTTGAGTATTGGTACCGATCAGATCGGACTTATCGTCTCTACACACTGCGACTTCTTCGCCTCCGTTGCTTTCCCAGATATCCTCGAAGTAGGTCTGCGAGTCGCTAAGTTAGGTTCATCAAGCGTCACCTGGGAAATCGGCGTGTTTCGCAAGGGAGAAGAGAACGTGAAGATGGTTGGATCATACACACACGTTTTCGTGTTGCGCGAGACCATGCGTGTTGGTAAAGGTGGCATGGAGAGCCAAGTGCGACAGGGCCTTGAGAAGCTCCTGAGTTCGCCAGAGGCCAAGCTCTAACGGAGTTGGGCTTCGCCAACAATCGCTGATTACCGATTATGTAAATAGTACACCAATAGTGCTCCAATTAGGAGTCTGTCCATATACTACATTGTTAGAATGAAAGAACCGCCCTGTTCGATCTACTTTGCATGATGAATGAGTTCCATTATCTACAACGGCTACAACTTGACCTTTTTGAGACGATGGAGATTGTCAGAATTAGATTAGGCGGATCAATACATCCCGTGGATTCATAGGCAATGATCATACTGACTCCACTATCCTTGGTAAGTCCGAGTGGTGTGCGGGTGCCTCTCGGATATCCCGGGAGTTTTGAGGAAAGGCAGCGCTGCCTGAGTGATGGTCTTCACCAGTTCCCCACAAATACGGTTTCTAAGAGTAGAATAAATAGATGATAGAGCCCCCTGGTGCGGAGCACATTGTGCAGAATCCCCCGAAGTCTTTGAATACCTTCAAGACTAGTACACCATGCAGCCCCTCCTCTGGGCCAGTATACTCGTCGCCTCCGCGGTCCAAGTGGCTGCCGATCCCTCTCTGACCGTGCGCACTAAGACTGGTATCTTCACCGGTCTTCATAACTCGGACTTCAGCGCAGTGCGCGAATTTCGTAGCATTCCTTTTGCACAGCCAGCAGTTGGACCGTTGCGTTTCCAGCCCCCAAAGCCGCTATCCCCTTCATCGAAGCATCACGATTCGACACAATTTCCGCCTTCATGTCCCCAATTCGTATCCGGCAAGCCTAGCTTCTTCAACCAGGCTACTCCTTATGTGCTGGCAGATAATGGCAATCAGAACCACTCAACTGGACTCACCTTGCAAACGTCATCAGAGGACTGCCTGAAACTTTCCATCTGGACGCCATACGGAATTTCCCATGACGCAAAGCTGCCTGTCGTCTTTTTCATGACAGGAGGTGGATTCAAGACCGGCGGGGTTGACGTTCCAGCTCAAATACCATCGGCATGGGTCAATCGAACACAGGAACACATCGTGGTAACCATCAACTACCGAGTCAATATCTTCGGCTACCCCAATGCCGCCGGGCTGAACAACCCAAACCCAGCGATGCTAGACCAGCGTCTTGCTCTAGAATGGGTTCACGAAAACATCGCCGAGTTTGGTGGAAACCCACAGGCCATCACTATGTGGGGACAGTCTGCCGGCGCAATCAGTACAGACTATCACAACTATGCTTTCTGGGACAACCCTCTGGTCCAAGGCACCTTTTCACAGTCCGGCACAGCCGTCAAAACTCTCACGTCTTCTGATTATGCCCAATCCAATTTCACCTTTGTAGCCAAACACGTTGGCTGCGATTTCGCCGATGACTCGTCGAAAGAGCTGGAGTGTATGCAGAAGGTCCCTATGGCTAAGATCGAGAATTTCGTTGGCCAGTACACTGGGTCACCGGGACTGACGTTTGGACCTATCGCCGATGAAAAGTTCATTTTCTCCGACTACCCAGCACGAGCCGCTGCAGGGAAGATGTCGCCTCGCCCAGCAATTTTCTCCGACGCCGCCAACAACGATGCCAGTCTGACTTCATGGCCTTCATCGAATGTCACAGAAGGCCCGTATCAGCCAACAGTTGATGCAGGAACATTGTCTGGCTGGGTTTGCCCGACTGCTAATACAAGTATTATTCGTGCGGCTGCCAACCGGATCACGTATCGATACCAGTACGCGGGTGTCTGGCCAAACCAGAACCCCTACAAGTGGATGGGTGCATTCCATTCGTCAGATTTGATGATGTTCTTTGGAACGTATTTCTACAACGCCACTCACACTTCATCTCAGCCTTCTGATGCAGAAATCAAGACAAGCCAGGCGATGCAAGATCATCTCTTGGCTTTCATGAAGGACCCTAAGAAGGGCCCCGCTGCATTGGGCTGGCACCCTTATACATATGGAGGCAGTGTTCTCCGATTTGGAGCAGACGGGGTTCCGGTTCAAAAGGTCAGTGGATATGACATTGATGGGCCTTGCTTCGGCAATGGCACATACAATGCATTCCCCTAGTCGGGAAATGCCTTACATTGTGGGTTGGAAATAGTCTTTAAATTCTTGTAGTCAGTAAATTGACTACACTTTTGTATATAGGTAGTATTACAATAGACCTCAGAATCAACTAGAAATCGTGAACTTGCATTGTCTACTATCTGACATGAGCTATACCACAGACAGGCGGGTCTTTTACACCTCTTCATTGATCTCAGAATTCGTCCACAACTTCTTGCTCCCACCTTCTAGTGCCAGATTCAGCATTTTACTAGCTAGTTCATCCACCTTGATAGAAGGCCCAACGGCAATCATCAACTCATAAAAATTAATGATACTGCGCGACCGAATCATAGCTGGTTGCAAAATATAGGACTCAAAACCAGTGTTCTCGTTATCGAAAGTGAGGAGCTCGGTTTCCACTTGTCCCTATGATTTATTAGTTAATAAGAACGGTTTGTTAACCAAGGCACACGGCAGTTTACCCGTATACGTCGGTAGTCTTGTAAGTACCAGAGCTGCTTAGTCTGATCTCGTTCCGCCAGGTAACCGCTGCAGTATACAAACCGAAACGGCTTCTGACAAATGTCGTTGAAGAGCCAGGCAGCAGCTGTAGTATATTCTATACTTATGCGTCGTGCCATATCGTTATCAGACACTTGGCTGGGCTTCACGCCGAGTGTCCTATAGTAGATCAGTTAATTGATGTATCTTGAACCGGTGCGGAACAACTATACCAAATGCATGCGTCAGCACCCCCTGATGGCTTCCCTAGCAGTCTCGGGATATGAGGAAAAGTCTTCCATTAGAACGACTTTGAGCTTGTCATGCTTTTCATGTCCTGTTAGTTCATGCCGAGTCAACGCGATAACAGCTGTGACCGACGGGTGTTCCAAGCACTGGCTGAGTAGTTCGCGACCAACGAAGCCGCTGGAGCCAGTCAGAATGAGTTTCATGGCTGGAGCAGGTCAAACAGATGTGTGAGCAGAAAGAATATTTCGTAACAAGGCGACGAGGCTGGGTATGTTAAATATTGGATGTTTATATGTGAACGTAGTTGATGGGATCATGGCCGCCTGATCTTAACTCCGGTAGGTCCGAGAGCACCAGGTGATGCCCACAAAGCTAGAAAGGGAAAAAAGAGCGGTTTCTCAACCATAATCACACTTGCTATGTTTACACGCTACATAATTACATCTACATAATATATTATCTCTGCCGAGTGGGGCTTTCTTATTCGCGCTGCCCGATTTTATGAGGGCGCTCAGAGTCGGGTTCAAAAGTGACCGTGATAAGAGGTGATATTCTGCTACTTCAAGACAAGAAAAGTCCCCCAAAAGAACCTAAGCGGGGAGGTGTCAAATGATTCCAGCTTTCTTCTCCGAAATATACAGATTGGCATTTCCAGGCACCGTGGCAAAGAATAAATGCTTACGCATAGCCGCCCCTGTGAGGCGTGCATCTTCCGGAATTTCTGGTTTCACAACAGCAATTTCTCGAAAACAGGGGGTAAGTGACACGAAGGTAACAGTGGGAATTTTCATATCAACATTTTGACTAAGCCATACTCCAGAACTAAGCATTGTTTTCCTTGTCTGGGTAGTTTTCGAAGAAGTCCTCCGCTAGACTGTTTGCGCTGACATAATTGGCTTTCTGTAGAGCAGCGCATATTTGTGTCCAGAATTTCCAGATGTCAGTGTCTTTAGCAGAGTGAACTTTGGTGTTGTGACACAACAAATCCATCGTAATCGAATTCAACCCTTAAGTTGCCCAGGTGCCCTTTCACATTTTTCATATTCTAGAATATATTAGCGTTGAGAAGAGTGAGGAGGGAGGGTAACTATAATACCTACTAGCAGCTAAACGACTTCTTCTGTCAGTGGGTGAAGACCGTACAAGAGCTTGAAACATTCATACTCTTTACTGCTATTTGTGTAGCGAGCGTAGACCACAGAGGCATCCATCTGCATGTTACCTGGATGAATAACGGTCTAATTCAGGTGTTGAATCTCGACCGTGCGGGAGGAATCCTAGGGTTCAGAGACGGCCTGGGTATACGTAAAGAGTACGCGAGTACGGACACTTTCATGCATGTGGTTAGACTTTTAGTGCCATTGCTGGGGCCTTTCAAATGTAGTCTTCAGGGTCTCGATTTCTGCATCAAGTCTATAAAGTCGTGATGTCAAGGCCTTCAGTTGGTCCAGGACCTGCAGACCTGCCTCATTTCCAACGATTTGTTTGACGTCGGACTCTATAAGAGTCACGTCGGTGTCCGGAGGTTCTTAGATCGAAATTGAGACGTGCTACCAGATGTCAGCCGTAGGCTGGAAATCTATACTCGTGGAGACGATGGGGGTAGAAGATGTCTTCTATTCTTCCAGACAGGAAAGGAGATATCTAGCTAAGTATCACGTGGGACAGACAACAATAGACCGATGACAGGGAAGTGGTGGAGGAAATCAAGTACGTAGGCAAAACCTTGGAAGATACGACTGGGTATTCGTGCTTCACTAATATTATTGCGACCCATTTGCTTGGAGTGCCCAAATATTATTCGTAGCACAATGAAATAGAGCCTCACCCATGGGATGTCTCAGCCGCACTAATTTGAGCGAGAATGCGACTTTGTGAAATTTACCTAGCTTAAATGAGAAGGTGGAATAGGGTTATATCCAGTTGAAGTTCCTTTTATTACATTCAAAGTTTCTATGGAATGTGCCATTCACTCAAAATGGTAAAGACCTGACAATCATGACCATGCGCCGTCGCAGATCATACCAAGGTCCCGATCGCATGAAAGAACTCTAATCTAATCAAAAGACAAAAGAATGCCGCAATGGGCTGTAAGAAAAGACACCATAAGCCCGAAATGTAGAACCCAGTCATCACGCGGAGTCTAAAAAGCACTTTTGATAACCAGGAAACACGCTGAAACGCTTGCCGAAGTTGAAAATATTAAGGCAACAAAGGCGTGTTGAAAATCTGTCGTAATTGTAGTGGATATTCGTGATGGCTGTCCAAAAAAAGACATCGCTTGCCATTTAATCGAATTTGGGCACAACGATACTGTTGCACCGAGAGACGTTGGCACTGGCGGGCGGCGAGACGCCACGACGCATCGTTTCGCCATCTTCATCGAGCCACCACTTAGGGTAGGGGCCAGGAATGAAGCGTCCCTTAGAGTCCCATCCGGCGACCCAGTGAAGACCATCGTCGAGCAGGAAAAATCGGAGTTTCTCGGGCTTAGTGCCCTTGTGCAGCGGAGCCGAAAACCAGCGGCAGCGCTCTTCGAGTTCCGACTCGAACATATAGCGATGGAGAATGCGGCAGTAGACTAAAGCAGCTGGGGCTTTTTCTTCGAAATCGCATCCATCGCGTTGGATGAGATGCCAGCCGCGACCGGGGAGGAATTTATAGGTACCCGGGACGGGGGTTTCCCAATGTTGTTCTCGGTTGGCGTTGCTGTCGACGCGATCACCATGTTGGAACCAATATGTGGGGCAACAGAGGGTGCGCAAGCAGAGGAAGAGGTTTGGGGCCATGATTGTCGATGGCAATGATGTGGTTGACAGGGGGAGACACGCGATTTGGGATCGTATCGGAAAGATCGCCCAAGTAAGGGAGATATCAAAAGCAGGAGATGGGTATGGAAAAGACGCTTGAAGTACAGAAAAAAGTGTATCCGAGGGAGGAAACGGCAGCTATAAGTCGACGTCCATAGTGACAAAGGTGCAAGGGATCAATTGCGCAAAAATCGAGTTGGGTTGAGAATGGCGAGGGTGTTCCTTCGGCTTTCACAGAAGCTCGGTGAAGGATCCCTGGGGGTGTGCAGATGCACTTATCAGGAGGAATGTGGAAAGGAGACAGTAGCACGGGCCGTGGTCCGAGGCAGGGACTGGATAGGTAGGAATGCTTCAACGGCCAGGCGTTTGGAAAGTTGCGTTATCGTTGCGGTGAGCAGCCGTTGCCGAAGCTGGGATTCAATGACGGGATTGCTGAGTTTCGGGAAGGGCCGTGATTCAAATATGCAGCTAGCGGGCCGGGTACAAGAACTTGAACAGCTCAGATACTAGCTTTATTGCTTGATTGTAATTCAAGGAGGAGGACGATCCGCGACAGATTGAGGATGGGTGGATTGAAGGCCAGACCGGGTTGAGTGGCTGAGAGGAATTGGCCAAGCGCGCAGGGACCAAGGCTGAAAGCCGGTGTTATTGCTCAGCACGAGCGCATGCAAGAGAGGGAGCTTTTGAGTGGAGGAATGTCATTATGCGAGTGATTGAAGAGAGTGTGATAACGGAGTATATATAAAAGGGAAGAAAGAAAACCGGGAATGTGGGAGGGAGCAGCTTAGTGTGCCAAGTCCAGGAAAAAGCTGTGATGGACTCCACCTCCGGTCTTCCCCCGTTGCCACCCGCCTTGACCTTTCATCTTGGTCTTCTCCACTCTGTTCAATCTGTTAAAGGTTCCCTCTTTTTCTCAGTGGAGTCTGTCCAGGCACTGAGATCGCCGGGTAATTTTCTGTCTTTTGACGGGAAACCCGTGTGCCAACCCAAGGGTTCGCGCGCGATTTTCGAGTTTTTCTTACCCAGGTCTAGCCCTAAGAATAACTTAGTCTGATTTGGCTCGTGTCTCGTCCCAGCTCAGGGGAAACTGTGTCATACCCTACCCAGTGCTGTTCCACAACCAGCGATCGTCTCACACCACCTTCTCTTGGCGTTGTGCGTCGAGTGTCGAAGAAGCTTCCCGGGTGCAGGCGAGGCCCGCGTGGCTCAGCCTTACCTCGTCCGATTGCCTCAAAAGAGACACCAAAACCCCCTGTCGGACACTTCATTTGACTTCGGGTTTTTTCGCTACTTTTGATTTTCCTTTTTCAGTTTGATTACGGAGCAGTCATTTTTTTCTTTTTGACTTTCCGGCATATTTTGAGGCGCCGCCAGCCACAACAGCTATGCTCCATTCTGTAAATCTTGGCCGCTGCCTGGCCTGGGCCACAACTTTTGGGGCACACCTGACGTGTGGAATTTTTTTCAGTAGAAGGGGCTGCCCCTTGGTCCACTGGTTTCACGTTTGTTCGTCCGGTGTAGGAAGTACGGACTATGGAGTGGTGATGGAGCCCTTCATTTTATCACCCAGCACTGCCACACCACAATAGTACGGGTTACGGATTATGGCTGGCATAATCTCATTCTAAGTAGATCTCTGTACTACGGAGTGCCATTGCCCGTAGACTGATACTGCTGAGCTAAGAAGCGCGAATCCGAGTGTGAAAATAGCCATCTGGCCTGGACAATCTCTGAAACCCAAGCCACATATTCCACATTGTCATCAACGGAAAAGCCACACACAGGCCACCTCAATTTCCTCCCGGTACTCCTTTCTCACTGCTGGAAATCCTTCCCTCAAAGAAAGAAAAAAAAAAATTGGGTTGAACTTGAGTTTAGATACAGGGTTATGCTTGTCTCTTGTGGGTTCGAAGGTTCTCATTTCACTTTCGCAACCTTAGTTGTCTTCATGGCCTTTCCTGTATACGAATTCGTGTAAAATTCCACAAACAGATATATCAAGGGCAAAAGATAGGAGCTTGCCACAACGAGAGGAAAACCTTCACCTTGATTACCCAAGCATGGGATTGTAGTAGTCACCCCGGTCGATACATTCGATGCTTGGCCATTTGCTTTGAACGATCCTGCCTGAGGCGCGCCCGTGGACAACGGAGCTTTGTAACTCACAAAAAGATAAAAATGAGCAAATCCTAAACCCACAATAAACTGGGCAATTTGAATAATCGTCAATGCACGTTTGAATACTTTCAGAACGGGTATTCTCAGCGTTTGAAGAGTGAAGTAGAAGTACTGAAAATACCGATCACCCTTTGTTAGTACCCAGGTATGAAGTATAGATGACACTGACTGTCCTCGGAAGATAGAAAAAATAGGCATGTATAACTTACCATCAAAGTATGCACCATCGCATTCAACATGGCACCCGGAGGAGCCATTGGAGATTCATATCTCAGCCCCGTCCATCCAATGATTATGACCCCCGCATGGTGAAAGGTTTGCAAAGTTGAGCTCTTCTTGCCTCGAGCGAGGATAATGAGGGTGTCCACGACCTCGTAAAACTTGCTGATATAGAAAATCCAGTACATGTAAATGACTCTTTCTTCAGAGCCAGTGGGTGGCTTTGCGAGTACTAAGAAAGGTAGCGCTTAGCTGATGTATTTACCTTGCTGATATGAGGATTCCCAAATAGAGGCTGTAACTTACTCCGATAGTCCTTCGAGTTTAGTTGACATAGGAATTCGACCACATGGGCGGAAGACTTGTCTTCCAGTTCTGATGTTGTCGATTTCCAATGGTCATACTGATAGTAGACAATACCGTAAAAGACCCATGCAGAAAATAAAGCAAGCAGCGAGTTGTGTGCTACCATGAACCCCTTAAAGATAGAAATCCTGGTCAAAGCCCATGGTCTATACTGACGACCGGCATTGAATTGGTTCAAGAGAAGAACGACAGTGACATATACTGCCACGAACGTAAAAACGAATTCGGGATTCAGCGACAGGTCGAAGAATCTTGGGTTGATACTGAGTGGGCGGAAAAACCTTTCCAGAGGAGTATTAACAGGTGCGAGGGGGGTTCGTATGAGTGGCCGAGGGGGTATGTTGAAGATGTCCAGACTCGGAAGCGTAAATTCAACAGATTCGAATGCCTCTGAAATCCCCATGATGATGATCCCCCGCAAATGCTTCGTGATACCAGTGGAAATTTATGAGCCCCCCCCTCATGACATGCTACAGCACGGAGTATTAATATTTCGAATCATGAGATTAGGCCCTAATTTGCGGAAAAAGAAAATGGCTGACCGGAGACAGGCAACCAATTGCTTGTGGGGGATTGTGATAGTCTGCCGATCTCTCGAGCATTGGCTCAAACTGACACCAGAATGTGCTTCACAACAACCAATTAGACATGAGGATAGGAGAAGAAGGAATTCTTATTATTGATGCTGGCTGCAGTTTTACACCTGTCTTATGCATGAGTGATCCGGAGGTCTGCACCGTTCCCAAATAAGGCTTTTCGACTGTCACTCATCACACCGCAAATAAACGAAATGAAAAGCTACAATACATGGGCACTGCCTGGTCAAAAGATATGTCGACTCTGCAGTTCATATCGCAATTTATGTAAGGTAATTGTATTGGATTAGTACTATTTAAATGAGACAATACCAGGTACGGAGTACTTAAATCATGTTAATTTGGCTGTTTTCGGATTGTATGTAATTTTTCTAGCGCCGCCAGCATGTACGCTAATGCATCACATTCACATTGGCCATTATACATACATACATAGTTAGCCACGCTATTTGATTTCGCATAAGGAATATAAAAACCTCAACATATTAAGGTAACAATTACGGAGCACTGTCTGATTACATGCGGGGCACTCTATACTATGCGCATACTTAGTTCCAACTCGGAGTTCCTCTATAAGGAATGAATGGTATTCTGGGGCACCACTAAGTGGACACCCCATCTGGCTACCTGAATACCTTATCTGTCTATTTAGGAAAGGTGCTGTATGTGTATTACCACGGGTCATTTCTAATTAAAATAATGTAGTAGTTTATACACACTTCCAAGGTTAGTAGTGACAAGGTGTGGTGCGGTAGATATGGCTACTAGTATAGGGTATAGTTAGCTTATGCTAGTAGGATCTACCTGATCAGATACCTAGGTATACTATCAGTTACTAAGATAGTTAGCACTGGTACATACCTAGGTACCTACTCAGTTACCTACCCGAAGGTGAGGAAGTAGAATTCTGGCCTCCTACTGTAGTTAGTGGTAATACACTTACAGCACCTTTTCTAAATAGACAGATAGGGTGTTCAGATAGCCAGATGGGGTGTCCACTTAGTAGTGCCCGTATTCTGCACGCAACTCTCATCTTGCAAACTAAAATAATCCTTGATCAATCAAACTGAGAACTCCTGAGAATAAGATTCCGCCTTCAAATATTGTTCGCTGGCCGATAATGTCCCCAGGAAAAAAGGGGGAAAACAGATAGATCAAATCAAGTTTTCTGTCTCCCTGCAGGGCCCCCACATGCGTAAATTTCTTTTGCATGGTTCATGACCGGGGCCTATCAAATCCACTAGAATTTATTTGTGCAACATGGCTTGCTGGTGTGGCTTCAATAGACCAGAATTTCCTTCTTCAATCATTCGCGAGCTGAATGAAACTTTTGGCTCAGCTGAAAATCCTCTTTGGTACTCCGTATTTATCCTGATCGATGAGGGCCAGTGCTTATATTGGATGCCGTCGCTCTCTCAAACTAGTAATCATTCGTACTGCTACTAGTATACGCGAAAGAATTACGAAAAGTGTATATGATTAAAAGGGTTGGATTACTTCGACATGCAACAACTCACAACCGAGTCGGCGAGCTTATTACTTTCAAGAAAGCAGAACCATTCTTCCGTGCGACCTCGCTCTCTAGCCCCCAAGGAGAGGAGTTCAAACAGCCCGACTTTATTCTCCATTAATGTGCGAAATGCGTTTGCGCTCATAGTGATCCCTTTGGGAGCACTGTCAAGTATCCCATGGGTTCCTTCAGATTCAAGGACTCTTTTGTTCGGGGTACTTTATGCGTATCTACGCTCCTTTGCTATAGTCACTGGTGAGTGTCTCCAATGCTTCCACATTTATGAGACTGGTTACAAATTCTAAAAAGAAAATTTGACAAATAGGCTATCATCGTCTCTGGGCACACAGAACCTACACCGCAAATACGGCTTTACGACTTGTGTTTGCGTTGCTTGGTGCTGGTGCAGGGCAAGACCACATCAAAAAGTGGGCCCGGGATCACCGCGCCCATCATCGCTATGTTGATACCGACCAAGATCCTTATAGTATAAAGAAGGGGTTTTTCTATGCTCATATGGGCTGGATTATATTTGAGAACAACAAAACCTCGACCACCGGCCGCGTGGATATTAGCGACCTCAAGTCCGATCGAATCGTGGAATGGCAAAGGCGATATTTCGTCCTCTTATTCGCCATTATGGGATACCTTGTCCCTACCCTCGTATGTGGACTCTCGCATGGCGATTTTCTTGGTGGGTTCGTTTGGGCAGGCTGTTTAGGCACGGCTATACAGCAACAACTTACATTTTGTGTGAATTCTGTTGCTCATCGGGTCGGGGATCGGCCTTTTACAGCGACCAAGTCCGCAAGACAAAGTCCGTGGGCTATCACTCTCCTCCTTATGGGAGAGGGTTATCATAATTTTCACCATGAGTTTCCCACCGATTATCGAACTGGAATTCGGTGGTATGATGTCGATCCAGGCAAATGGATGATCGCTTTCTTATCCTTTCTCGGGCTTGCCACCAATTTGAAGCGCTTCCCACAGAATGAGATAAATAAATCGCTGCTGCAGCGAAAGAGAGAGGAGCTGGAGAAAGAAGGCCAGGCTGTGGATTGGGGAATTCCACTTGAAGAGCTACCCGTTTGGAAGTGGGAAGATTACGAGGAACAGACAAGAACAGGACGCAATCTGATCGTTATCAGAAGGGCTGTGCATGACGTTTCGACTTTTGCGACTGAGCACCCAGGTGGCCCAGCAATGATAGCTGCGGCAATAGGGAAGGACGGAACAGAAATGATCGAAGGGGGCGTATATGGCCACTCCAATGCGGCATTCAACTTGTTGGATAAGATGAGAATAGCTGTAATCGAGGATGGCATGTCAAGGTAAATTAGGCGAGGAGCCGGGCAAACCTCGGGTAAAATGGTGATTGGGCGGCCGTCAATACAGCCTGTTCACGAAAGATGTGATGCTCCGATGACAGCCCAGATTCTACCTTTTATCGTACTGTACATACTAAACTTTCTTCTTCCCGTATAAGACTCCTCTCGATTTTGTTACGAAATCCACTCGTTGTTCTGAGATTATCCTGAATTCTTTTTGGCAGCGAACAATGAACTTTTCATCACCACCCGGGAACACATGGCGATAAATAAACAACAGCATCATTTCAGGTGTTATTGATCTAATAATACAATATAGTTATCAGTTTATCTACGAGTATATATCGTGCTGCTCTTGCTCCTACGCTCTGACAATTTCTATGAATCTATAGTACCCCCTCATCAAGCCACCAAAATTTGCGCATGTCAGCAGTGTAAGTGAATATTTGTTTAACTTGACCAAAGAAGCCGTAGATTTCATCTATTAACGTCTGTAGATAGTCCATCTGTAAGTGCACTGCCATCGCACTCAGCAACGGAGTAGCCGGTGGGGTTGTCATAGGAGTAGTTCGGAACAACCGCAGCCGACGCTTCTCCGCATTTCCCCCACTTCCCCAGATCTCGCCATACAACTCAGTCGAGACGATTCCCAGACCCCATCAAAGAAGCCATGGAGCCAGATACACCCCAAGATACATACGCCTATGAGAATATGGCCTCTCCGTCTTCAGGGCCACATAAAGCAAAGAAAAAGCGAATTCGGAACTGGACTGCCGAGGATCGCGCCGTGCATCGTGAATTCGAGAAGTCGAGGCGAGAGGCATTCAGTGAACGCCTGATGGTCTGTTACTATAACTAGTCCTCCTATTGCAGGCTCTAACAATATATATATAGGAGCTGACCGACCTATTGCCAATGCTGAGAGCCGAGCAGCGTCCTTCAAAGCACGTCATTGTAGATGCGAGTATCTCTTACCACAAAGCACAAGAAGCCAGATATCACCAGGCGGCCCGTGTCATTCAAGATCTCCTATTCGAGCGTGATGAACTGCTCCGAGAGGTCAATAGTCTCCGGCCCTTGTGTCAAGCGAGTGGTTGGGCTCCGCGCCAACCCCGACCAGTCGACCCCGCTGTGGTTTCGATGCTGTCCGACAAGGGGCCGACTGTATCCACCAGTAAACAGACAGATATTGCGCCTAACAATCCAGTGCTTCAGACCAATCCTTCACTCGCTGCTCCCGGCATTGCCTCTTTGTCGTTACAAACACCTCAGGCGGTGTCCGGTCTCCCTCCTCTTCCTCAGCCAACATACAACGCAGACGACTGGTCTTGGTCTAGCGCACCCAAGTCTACATCTTTCTCTTTGGACATCACAGGGGATCACCCGGCTGTTTGGAATACACCACCTGAAGTAGTTGAAGCCACGCCACCAAAAGATGGAGAATTGGGGTATGACCCCAACACATCATATCTGATCAGTGATTCCGCCTTTTTCTGGACACAACACCCCAGCTTAAATACCACAACCCCACCAGGCGATGGTGACTTACAATATGGCACAAATGACACGGTTGTGCCGGAGGAAGTACCATTAATTTGGCCCCAAAGTATGGCTATCTCAACAACTGCCCCATTCAACAACGAGGAAGCGAGATCCGACAATCAGAATTTCCAATCGATCAATTCATTCTCAAATCCGGCTAGTCTATCTATATAAGTGAGCGACATGCCATTCATTGCGGCGACAAAATTCCCTCATACAGCTTCTCTAAAGCACCTTCATGGCCTCCTCAATCTTCGCCTGGCTTCTCTTTTCGGCTGCAACGAACAGCGCAAGGGCCTCGCGAAGTCGCTTCTTGGTCTCCGGGTCCGCCTCGTTCGCCTTATCGAGCTCGGAACCACCATTTGCAAGGTAGTCGATATCTGTTCTAGACAGCTTTCCATCCCAGTTAGGACCGATCAGTGGGTCAGTCTGGGCTATCTTCTTTAGTCGCTCGGGTGTGGGCGCCGCATTCTTGTATGGGTGAGCGGGCTTTTTTACACCCTCTCCGGGCTGCTTAGATCCATCATATGGAAGATTTGCTAGCTCCGTGAGTACCATGTGAGAAATGGTCGCCGAGTGGCAGCCCAGTTCGCCGGCTGCCATTGCTTCTTGTGGGGAAATGAAGCTATTAAATCGCCTTTTAGTCCCATCTGTTCGACATTCTTATTTCGTTCAACATACCTGGCATTCTTGAGGAACGGCTGCTCTTGGCCTGTCTCCTTATAGAGTCGCTTGTATGTCTCCAAGATCTGAACCAATCGAGGCGACATGGGGTGCAGAAGAGCCGGGTCGTTAGATTTGGGCCACAGCTCCTGCTCGTCATGTGCGCGAACCTCTGCCATAAAAAATCGAGTCAACCGGTGTACTTTCACATGATAGGAGGGTATGATTACCATTATAGTACGGGCTGACATACAAGCAGCCCGCTTGGCTGGCCGCAATAGCCTGATGGACACTGAAAAGCGTTGTTCCAAGCGTGCGGATGCCCTCTTCCTTGAGAATCGGGCAAGCATTGAGAGCTGGTCCGGTGCTGGGGATCTTGATGCAGAATCGATCTTTCGAGACTCCCAAATTCTCGAACTCACGGGCGTAGGCCCGCGCGTGCTCTATTGTTTTCTCTGTATCATAGGCATTGGAAGGGAGAGTCTGAAGCAGACACCGGCCTTGAATATTGTCGAGGTTGGCCTTGGACATCAAGCATGCCTAGAAGACTGTGTGAGAGAAACTCTTTATTTGTTATTTCATAGAATGAGATATTATTACCATGCGAGTATAGATCGCTAGCCATCCCTGGTCCTTGTATTCTTTGACCACACTCTTGAACAGCTCTTCGTTCACTGGATTGCACATTTGCTCATGCACCCAACCTTGGTTGCTTGTCATATCATGAGGGACAATGGGCATGCTCAAAGTGTATGCCGGGTCCATCCAGTCGACATCGATGTTTACTGCATTTGTTAGAACTGGTCACATTGCATATAGTCTGGAGGGTTCCCTTACACTGCTCAGAGAGCTTCTGAAGCCAAGTTACATTGTCCGCGCTACCCATGTTGCTGAATTCCGCTGAGAGTTTTGTATTTTGTGAATGGAAATAAATCGATTCTTCAGGTTGGCTATACACACTTCTAAGCTAAAGAATGGCAGACTATATACGTTTGTCGTCCACTGGAACTGCTGGCAATCGGACAACTGTGACCCCTCAAAAGGTGGACCAGGCCTGTACAGGACACACACAGGGCACCAGAAGATCCGGTAAGATATTCCGCCTTTTGCCAACTGACTGCATGAATGCTGCAGCTCTACAGTGGTACAGCGCTCAGTTGCACGCAGGGCATTCCTGGCCTGTACAGGGTCGGCACATTCCCGATGGCCACGGCCAGCAACCGGCTCAGGCCAAGCATACCAAAGCTTCTGATAGGCCGCTCCCCGCTTCTTCGGTCACACACAGGACAAAGAACTCGGCTTTGAGGCCGTGGTCCACGCAGGGCACCCTGCGTCACGACTTGAGGGGTTGAGGAGCCTAACGTGCTCCCATTGGTTTACTCTTCGATCGGCGCCGCTAGCGCACCCCGGATTCCAACTTGACCGATCTGCCAATCGTGAGACCACCTCGGTCGTGGTGGAGTATATATTCGAGCTGTGGAACCTGGGGCTCTTGAGCTGTCAGGGAGCTTCAAAAGGCTATCATCATGTCGAAGCATAGTTTGGAAGAAGACCTTAAGCCAAAGTCGGTGTTTGTGGAGGATGCTGAGGCCGCCCAAGCGGACCTGGGCAGCTACAGTCGCAATGTCAATGCAAGGTACGACCAAGTAACTTCAATCGTGGGAGAGTACTGGTATGTCTGAACTGACGGCGAATTGGCTGGCAGGATCTCCAATCCTCTTGCTGGTATTGCGAAAGTCGATCTCTACGATCGCGTGCTCCGCTTCTGCCAGGAATTTGGATTCGAAGACCATATCGAAACGTTTCAGAAAGGAGCACTTGCAGCACAGAACCCCCCAAAGCTTCGAAGATTTATCTGAATTGACTGAGGATGATAAATATCATTTGAGACGAGAGTATACCCGTGCGTGGATAGACCTAGAGATACTCGGTATTTCCAATGCTTATGCTAATGTGGGGTTAGACAAATGGCACCTACCAAAGGCCCTGTATTTCAGTATTGGCTTGTGCTCTCTTGGATCAGCTATCCAAGGATGGGACAACACTGGTGCCAATGGAGCCAATCTCTCTTTCCCCCAAGAATTCGGCATTGAAGACAATGCGTGGCTGGTTGGGGTCATCAATTCTGGGTAAGCAAATGGAATCAAGACCTGCCTTACCTCATTCCATCTAATACTTTACAGCCCGACCCTTTTCGGTCTCCTAAGGCAAGTTTAAGCCGCTATCACTGGCGGAAGAAGTCTTCCAAGGTTTTTAACAATTTTTTAGTGCATGGGCATCAGATCCTCTGAATAATTGGCTGGGTCGTCGAGGCACTATATTCGTGACCGGCTTGTTGTGAGTATTTAGTTCCAAGGTTAGGGAAATATAACCATTCTACTCTGCTAACTTGAATATCAGCTGCGTTTTCCCCGTTCTTGCTCAAGGGTTTACTCAAAACTGGTGGGGCCTCTTGGTGTGTCGTCTATTTATGGGACTCGGTATGATCAAGAAAATCGCTGTCAAAAAGCGCAATATTGACTCATTTCTTTAGGGATGGGCGTTAAAATATCAACTATCCCGGTTTTCAGTGCCGAGGTCAGTCCGGCCTCTATTCGAGGCGGCCTAGTCACAAGTTTCCAGCTTTGGGTAGCATTTGGAATTCTAGTGTATGTCTCCATAACGTGATCGAAGCCAGGATGTTGGCTAATTATATTGGCAGTGGATTTTGCTCTAATCTAATATTCTACCGCATTGGACCACTGGCTTGGCGCTTCCAACTGTCTGCTGCCTTTGCCCCGGCTATACCAGTGCTGATATTTGTGTGGTTTTGCCCAGGTGATATTGAGTGCCCCATCATCGTGAACAAGACTAATTGTGATGCCAGAGTCGCCAAGATGGCTTATGAAGAAGTATCGCTACAAGGAAGCCTTTGCATCTTTCTCTCGCTTGCGAAACACAGAGCTGATTGCCGCTAGAGAGCTGGTAGGTGTTCTCGATTATCACAATCAGTATCCGCTAATAGCCTTAGTACTATGCGCATTGTCAAGTTGTCACGGAACGTGATGCATTCTCTGGCAAATCTCTTGCCCATCGAGTTTGGGAACTATTTACCGTACCCCGCCTCCGTCGAGCGATGATCTCGAGTGCAATTATAGTCACATCACAGCAATTTTCCGGTATCAATATTATGAGTTTTTACTCGTCCACCATATTTTCGGTAAGTGTGTCTCTCAATAGAATGAGGGAAATCTGGGCTAACCATTCATATAGGAGGCGGGATATTCTACCCGAGATTGCCTACTTGCCTCTCTTGGTTTCGGCTTGGTCACATTTGTCTTTGCCCTACCAGCTGTCTTTACCATGGACACTTTCGGTCGACGAAACCTTCTATTGTTTACGTTCCCAAATATGGCTTGGTGTCTCCTGGCGGCAGGCTGTTGCTTCTTGCTTCCTACGGGGTCTGCAGCCCGAGTGCCTCTAATTGCCTTCTTCGTCTACCTATTTTCAGCATTTTACGGACCAGGTAGGTTCTTTGATATTTTAATTGCAAAAGACAATCAGCTAACTAGGCTAGGAATCGGGCCTATTGCCTCAATATATTTTAGCGAGGCTTTCCCGCTCTCCCATCGTGAACTGGGAGCCGCCCTCACGATTTGCGTCAATAACTCTATAGGAAGTGCACTCAGCCTTACATTCCCATCATTGTTAAAGAAGACAACGCCCACTGGTGGTAAGAAGTTATTTAATACATTTGAAAAGATCTAATGACTGATTCGAACCATAGCTTTCGGATTCTATGCGGGATTAAACATTCTTGCTTTTCTCATCATCTTCCTCGTGGTTCCAGAAACAAAGTGAGTCCCAGCGTCGATGATTGTATGGAATTCATATTAACTTTGGTAGACAACGTACGCTTGAAGAACTCGACTTTACCTTCGGTGTTCCAATAAGTAGACACGCACGGTATCAAACTGGTACTTGGCTACCGTGGTTTGTTCGACGCTATGTTTTCTTCCAGCGGTCAGCAAAGTTGGAGCCACTGTATAAACTAGAAGGACTATAAGGGGATTTTGGAGGTAGCCTGCTCTATCCAACTCAAATTATCTATCAAGTAGTTTCATTCCATAAATGTTACTTTTTTCTTGGCTCTTCGGGCCGGCAGAACCAACCTTTCGCCGTTCTCGTCAGCGCATCGGCAAAATTTCTTCTTCCCGAGTTGCTGACCGATCTTGATGTCAGAATGGCAACTTTGCCGTAAATAATTACCCAATTTGCCATTTGGATGGCAATTGCAGTTTTCAAGTTCTACAACTCACCCACGTTCTTTTTTTGCATTTGCCATCGAAATGTCACTCACTTACGAAACCGTCGCACTCCAAGTCCAAGGGGTCAACCTCGAGGCTTCTACAGTTCACAGTTTAACATCTAAACCTCCAATTTTATTCTTGCATGGCTTTGGGTCCTGCAAAGAAGACCTGGCAGATGTACATCTCCACCCGTATCTGAAACATCACGGTTATATCGCATATGATGCGCCAGGTTGCGGCCATACCAAGAGCGATAAACTCTCCGCCACCGATATACCTTTCCTTGTCGCTACTGCAGAAGCGTTTCTGGAACACTTCAAAATCACTCGCTTCCATTTGATGGGCCACTCTATGGGTGGGCTCACAGCGCTCTACCTGGCGCACCGCAACCCTGACCGGGTACTGAGCTTTGTGGATATCAAGGGCAATTTGGCCCCGGAAGACTGTTTCCTCAGCAGACAAATATTCACATTCAAGTCAGATGACCCTGAGGACTTCTTCGACGCCTTCATCGACCGGACCCGAACCAGTGGATCTTACGGAAGTGCCTTATATGCGAGCACTCTTCGGGCACGAGTTCGTGTCGAAGCGGTTCGACCAATTTTCGAATCAATGGTACATTTATCTGATGAGGCAGATCTGCTGGGGATGTTCCTTGGGCTGCCTTTCCCACGAATGTTCATGTTCGGATGGGAGATGAGAGGGTTGTCGTATCTCGAACGACTAAAGAAGGGGGGGTGTGGAATTAGCGCAGATCGAAGAGTGTGGTCATTTTCCCATGTACTCCAGCCCGCTGGAGATGCATCGACAGATTTCGATATTTCTAGATAGGATTGCGCGCAATTAGAGCATAGCATCGATGTACATATAAATTAGAGAATACCTAGGTAGACAAGGGTTAAACCTGCAGGATTCAGCCCGTTGCCCCTTGCGGCATAGCGGCACCCACCAGTGGAACAGAGTGCTGACAATACTCACTCAACCAGACCCTGTCAGCTTTTTGACATCTCTTTGTCAGCGTTGTTTCTTGTTCTTCTTGACCATTATCATTACCTTTATCATAATCTCCTCCTTCTCTGTCTTGCTCCTAATCTGCCTATCGCTTCCAGTGACCTTCTTCTGATTATCTTCCCCGGCGGGGTTCCACCTTCGCCTTCGTCGCTTGAAGCACGCAGTTGGAGTGGAGAATTTCGCTTTCGTTTTCGTCCTCATCTCACTGGATGATAACGAGTAAACCTATGGGAGCCCTGCAGGAAAATGCCGCTGCCTGCCGCCGCCTGCCGATAACAACGTGGCGTTTCGCAACGTATCCCATGAACCCCCAAAGTCTGGAAATGCAACACCCCGGATCCAATGACCTGCAATGGCCCAAGCAGAACCCGTATTCATCTAGAAAAGGATCCTGAATCAAGCCTCACAAGCAATGCCATTGTCCAAGCCACGCGAGGGGCGCTCGATCAGGAGACGGTCTCCGATGGTACGCCGGCGCACGGTGACCGTGCAACCAACCCATAATATCAAACTATTAAGGACCGGGCCAATTTTGATGCCGTGCTAACCGCAAGCAGTGAGACCTCGCGCCAGTCATCAGGTTTCGATTGGACCCATTCGCTTCGGAAGCCTAGAGACAAGCTTCTGCCCAGCAATTCGATCCACTAAAGTGGGTCGTTTGGCATTTCCGTGTGCGGACCCACGTCCAAACATGGGGTCAATGGTTGTATCGTTACATCCTCACAATTCGGCGCACCCGGAAGCTGTTGGTAAGTCTTTCTCCGAGATTATACTGACCAACCAACGGGGAGAGGGGCTTGCGACTAGCTTTTGGATTCCCCACCGCTATCATCTTGTCCAGTCGCCAAAGATGCCTCGGAGATGATGTTTGTTCCCCGCAAGATGAGAACGTCGTCCGGGCCTATTTTAGAAAGGCCCACGATGCCGGCCTGTTGGACTGGAGGTGTCCTTTTCGCTTCTCTCTGCTCGCAGCTATCTGGCACCATAGGATCTGCACTTTGATCTTGGTAGATATCTCCTATTCCCTTCTTGTCTCTTCTTGAACATGGCTGGCAATATCTCTGCTGCCAATCTTGGTGGTGTTGCCGACGCTCGCCTAGGTGCCGAAGCAGATATCATTGGCACTAAAGAGGAACACCCAGAGACAATGTCTCACGATATTCCTCCACCGATACTGCATGGACATGGCTCAATCTACCTGGATACCAGTATCAACTTCGAGAGCTACCATTATTGGGCAAAGCGCTCTCGTGAGGTGGAAAAGAATATGCGAACCGATAACGTCGGCCTCGCTTCACTGGGCAGCGTTATCATGGGAAAAAAGTCCAAAGAGTCGCCACCTTCCACTCCCGCTGCTACCACTGCCAACGAGAAAAGCGGCACCCCCGAACCCTCGAACCAAACCGTGAATAGCGACACCTCGGATAGCTGGGGCGTGACCGAAAGCGAGTGGGAACAGGCACAGAGAGCGGGCCGGACCGCAACTTGGGGCTCTATTTTCTACTTGATTACCACTGATATCTTGGGCCCCACCAATGTGCCATGGGCAATTAGCAAGATGGGCTATGGGCCTGGTTTTGCTCTATACACTGCATTTGGTGCCATGGCTTGTTACTCCGGCATGCAATTGTGGCACATGTTCGTCGGACTAGACTCAACTCGGTTTCCCATGCGCAATTACGGCGATGTTGCGTTCCGAATCTTTGGCAGCTGGGCTCGTATCGTGGTCAACTTTTTGCAAAGCTTTCAGTTTTTCTTGAACGTGGCCCTGTTGATCACTAGTAACGGACAAGGCTTGGCACAGATGGCGGCTGGTGTCGGTGGCAATGGATTTCTTTGCTTCATTGTTGCTGAGGTTATTTTTATGCTTATCGGTTTCGCTTTAGGGCAAATTCGCACCCTGCAGCGCCTTTCCTGGCTGGCAAATATTGCCATTTGGCTGAATGTCATCGTCATTATAATGACTATGGCGGTTGTCTACCAATATCCTCCGAACTACGACGCAGTTGCGCAGAGTTACAACATTCCCGAGGGCCCCGTGCAAACAACTGCCAACTGGCCTGAATCCTCCACCCTCAACGACAAAGTGAATGCCATGATGAACGGTGTTTTTGCTTACGGTGGTGCGACACTATTCAACGAACTCATGGCTGAGATGAGACGGCCATATGATTTCTGGAAGGGATTTATCTGCGCCGAGATCTTCATCTATGCTTGCTACTTGATCATGGGCATGGTTGTCTACAGTGCCCAAGGACAATTTACCTTCAATCCCGCCTATCAGGGTGAGTTTTTCCAACCTTTACTCCCTCTTTCAGCGTGCTAACTTTACCTCACAGGTATCCCAAATAGTGCTTATCGCTTCCAAACTCTTGGAAACGCAATTTCCTTCATCACCGGTGTTATCGCCGCTCTGCTCTATGGAAACATCGGAATTAAAGTGTTCTACTCCGCGGTTCTCCGCGATGTTTTCCACTTCCCCCCTCTGGATAGCCGTCGGGGCAAATGGTTATGGATTGCACTCGGTTAGTTACTCCATTAGCTCAAATTTGAATTCAACACTAACATCACAATAGTCCCGATCTACTGGGGTCTTGCATGGATCATCGCCGCCGCGATTCCCCAAATTAGCAATTTGACTTCTTTCGTCGGTGCGGCCTGTATCTTGCAGTTTTCTTATACCTTCCCGCCCATGCTACTTGTTGGATACAATGTCCAGAAAGACGCGATACTACCCGAGGAAGAGTACAATCCGCAGACTGGTGAAGTCAACCGCGTAGATAGCGGTATAAAACGCTGGATCCGAGGATACAAGAAGAAGTTTGTTTGGAATACTTTTGACGTCATCTACTCGCTTGCTGCGCTGGCATCTGCTGGACTGGGTATTTGGGCATCTGTCACGTCAATGCGCGAAAGCTTTGCATCTTCGGCACTGACGCCGTTTACCTGCGCGAACCCAGCTGGATGAAGTACCAGGCTGATATTGGTGCTTGCCATGGTTGTTGAAATGCCTATACGAAGGTGTCTTTGGGGTCTTTTTGGTGACGTCTGTAGTATATAAGAGTTAGTGGGGTTTTCTTTCAGGAAAGTCCATGATTTGTCTCGATCATGAGGATTAAGGAATATAAGTTTCGCTCACTTTTCTATTCCAAACTTGCTTAGTGTACGTCTGATTTTGGTACTTCATTCCAATTACCGAGTGAAAAGAAAAAGAAAAGAAAAAAAGGAACTTCGGAACATCCATGGATATCTGTGGCCTCATATGGTCTCACGCGATCAAATAAGCACCAGGGCTTATTTCTCTATCTAATTAGTCATCCTTGGACGACAAGCTTTCCACCATTCGTACCTTAAGCAAACTCTTGTTCGTATGATTTGTTTTCCACCTGACTGCTACGATAAGCTTAAAACCTTTCCCCTGGGGCTTTTTCCAGCTTCGTCTCTGGAAGCAAATCATTGTCCTGATGAAATGCTTCATGAAAGGGCTGTGTCTGCATGATAAAATGGGGGGGGGGATCCAGAACAGCCTCTAATAAGGTATTCCTAATGAGGTATGCAAATCGCAATCGACATGATTGCATAGTCGCCTCGATTCTGAATCCTTATTGGCTATCACATACGCTAGTCTACTTAAGGTGGGCCTTGCGACGTCTAATTTTAGGCTGCCAGGCCGTAAACAATGGCACGTGACTTTGATGTAGAAAGCTGAGTTTGCACGCACAAATTCAGTATCCACTACGGAGTCCTGTTCAGGGGGCATAAGCACTAATCGTTGGACGTGAAGAAACGAAAACCTTACCCACCGCGTGTTCGGTAATCGATGACCCACTAGGCCTTCCCAAACTATTCACAATGCGGCTAGCTGTTCGTATAGCATGAATGCCAGTACTGAGTACTGGACAGAAGAGTCTACTTGGGCTTTTCAACAAGCAATTGGATATCGTAATGATGCTTAAGTTCGGCCAGGTTCTGCCAAGTTTGTAAGCTCTCGACTTGCTCTCGATGCAGGCACGCAGGTGTGACGACGTGGCGGCAGCATCGTTGACTTGGCTGTCAACCTTCTTGCCCAAAACACAGCCCTATGCACCCCAAGAGGGGCCGGGTCGCTCCATGCTCCTTGAAATGGAAAAAGAGACTGCGGCTCGACGAGGCTGACGCCGAATCAGCCATGCAGTGCGAGCCAATCAGCTAGTTGAATCGGATTTGAGAATCAGCTCCGCCGTGGGGGCCGTTGACGCACAGCCTCACCCGAGGACCTTTATAAGGTCTTGGCCATCTTGTTCAGCGTAACCATCCACTTCACAAAAATTAACGACCTAAACGAATACGTCTACGAATATCACTATGGTGGAAGCGACCGATAATTTGTACGAGTACTACAAGCCCAACAAGATTGTGGCCATTGTTTTCGCGGCCTTTTTCCTTTCGACATCGATCTTACATGCTTGGAAAATTTTCACCACGCGACAATGGTTCGGCATTGCTATTATCCTCGGAGGACTGTGTATGTGTTTCATCCACGGCTTCAACCAATTTTTTGGAAAGAGTTGAACTAACATGGAATTTCCCCCCTGAACAGTCGAGTTTGTGGGTCTCCTAGCGCGAGCTTATGGACATGATCACTTGGACAAACTACCCCCATACATTATTCAGATGGTCCTGATTCTCCTGGCGCCAATTCTTTACGCTGCCGCCGTATATATGTTTTTTGGACGTTTGGTTGTCGCGTCTGGACATCCCAAGCTCTCGCTGATCCGCGTCAACTGGGAAACCAAGATCTTTGTTATCGGCGATATCCTCTGTTTCCTGGTCCAAGCCTTTGGAGCTGTCAGCCTTGCCAACCTAGTCAATTCTACCTCCAGTGACACCGCGCACAAAGTCAATGTCGCGAAAAACGTCATCCTCGCTGGTCTCGCACTGCAGGTGATCCTTTTCTTGGTCTTCCTCGTGTCGGCTATAATTTTCCATGTGCGAGTCTCGAAGCGTCACATTGCCAAGTCGATCGATCCAACCCTGCGTCTGCAGCTGATGATATTTTCCATCTACATTACTGGTGTTCTCATCACAGGCCGAAACATCTATCGTCTTATTGAGTACAAGAGTGGAAATGGCGGCTACCTCCAGGAGAACGAATGGCCGCAGTATGGCTTGGATGTCGGTCTGATGGCAATTTACATGGTTGTCACCTTCTTCTGGTACTTTGCGGACACCAAGGCACGCGCAAACAACCCTAGCAAATATGGTCGTCTCCCCGACGACCAGGCCACCTGGTCAGGAAACGTCAACGACGACAGCTTCCCTCTCAATCACCCCAACGCCTATGAATCTGGCTATGCCAATGGCCCCCATCTGCCGCCTCCTACTCCCCAGGTCCCCGGATACAACAATACGGCATATAACCCTGCATATGACCATAATAACCCTTCATATACCCATGCCTGATTTGATTTCTCCCATCATTCGTTTATGCGTTCGAGCTCTGTTGAAGGATGTTGGATATCTACTAGCATTTGAAGCGTTTTTTCAAGCTGTTTCTTTTATTATACCACCTTTTTGCGATATTTAGAATCATGTTAGATTAATAAAACAGGATAATATCTCACGTCTGTTTCTGTAAATACAATGTCAAAATGTAATGCAGGAAAATTAAAGACTAGGATCCTCAACGTACTGATATTGCTCAGGCTACCGTATGCTACAAAATAAAGGTAATCTCATAGTCACTTTTCTAATCACAACGGTTCAGGATCTAGTACGAATTCCTTCACCCACGGAGTTCCTTTGGCATCTCATGTCTTACTAGTACTTAAATACGCACAGTGATTGGTTTAACAGCCACCACCACCGATTATGGAACGAAAAATCGTTAGCATAAAGGCTGTAGTAGGTCTTCGAATCTTGATTATACAAATCTCCCCAACCTCATGGAGTTTCGTCTCCCACGGCGACAAGCAAAGATGCACATGGATATGAGCCCCCTACACTATGCATGACGGATGCCACTCCACATCTATGAGATTCGTACCCACTCAGGCACTCCACTATGGTACTAGTACATATACACATAACAATGATTCAATTTAATGCAACATGAAAGAGGATTTCTAGCGACTAGCTAGTCTACTGTACGGTCATGATCGTGGATGGGAGATGTTCGTGTCCCGAGAAGAAATGAAACAAAACAGAGAATGTGCAAGCCCCAAACGCCTTCTATGACTGAAAGACAGGATATCTCTTTTTTTTGGCGCTTACTGAGCGGCGCACTGCGCCGGCTCTTCTTCTTCGTCGTCAACCCAGGCAGAACCGCCCTGCGCATCCTGGGCACCAAACTCCTCCATGTTGCCCTTCGGGTCGTACTCAACCTCGTCCACTGTCTCGGCTGTGATGGGGGCCTCGGGTCCGGGAAGCACCTGCTTGATCTTCTCGAGCATCTCGGGGGTAGGCTTCCAGCTCTCTTCGGGGAACGTGACGTTGACCACCAAGTAGAGATCACCCTTGGAGTCGCTGCGCTTGATGGGCATGCCCTCGCCCGGAATCTTGAGAATCTGTAGGGGCGAGAGAACCTTGCCAGCCGGGTGTGTGAGTTCAATACCACGACCGTCAAGGTGCTTGATCACCACGCGAGAGAACCCGGTCAAAGCCTCGGCCACTGTCACATCGAAGCTAGCGCGAAGGTCGGAACCAGCGCGGTCAAAAACTTCGTGCTCCTCCTGCACCAGGCGGAAGATAATGTCACCGGGCTCTTGGTCAGGTACTTGGTCTGCCTCGCCCTCCAGCACAATCTTGTCTCCCTCACTAATAAATGGGATCAGTCACTTTTCATTTGACATATCAAGCCGGGAAATTGGGACGAAACATACCGAGAACCAGGAGGAATGTACATCTCAAGAATCTTCTTCTCCTCGGTGGTCTTGTTGCCCTTGCACTTCTTGCACTTATCCTTGGGGCTGAAGAAGCGACCCTGTCCGTTACATGTGGTACAGGGCTGGGCCGACTTCGTAAGGAAACCGCCCTGTTGCATGATAACTTCTCTGACTCCGTGACCCTCGCAGGTGGAGCACTCCTTGGCCTTGGCCTTCTCCTTGCCACCTTTACCCTTGCAAAGACTGCAGACAACGTTCTTGGTGCTGGCGAATTTGACGGTCTTTCCCTTGTAAAGCATCTCTAGGCTGACTTCATAGTCTTGTTGCTCGTTGCGGCTTCGGCGAGGCTGGCCGCCTCCAGGCATACCTCCCATACCTCCCATCCCGGGCATACCGCCCATACCAGGCATGCCTCCACCCCCCCATGCCGCCCATGCCACCGAACATCTGTGCCAGAAGGTCATCAAGGTCAACATCGCCAGGCATACCGCCACCCATACCAGGGTCACCGGAGCCGTTGAAAGCGGACATGCCATGGGTATCGTAAATGTGGCGCTTCTGGTCATCATACAGGATTTCGTATGCCTCTTGAACGGCCTTGAACTTGATCTCGGCAGTGGGGCGCTCATCTTCGGGGACTTTGTCGGGGTGGCTAGAGAGGGCAGCCTAGATATATCCCTTGTCAGTGTTGTATCTCCGAGCGAAGTCGTGAATGGCGGTCCCACCTTGCGGTAAGCGGAGCGAATTTCATCTTTGCTTGCCCCTCTTTGGATCTCTAGGACCTCTATAACGGTGAAAAACATCAAGTCAGCCCTGCTGTATTATTTCCGTAGTCGCGATAACGTCTGGGATCCTTTCGCATACCGTAGAGGTCAACTTCAACTTGAGCCACTGCAGGTCAAATTAGTAACAGTCAACAAACCGATCAGAAGGAACAAGGACAAGAACCTACTGCTTGCAGATAAACAGAATTGCAACGCCTTCTAGCGACTTTTATACCAAAATGAAATCACAAAGGCGCCGAGGGTGGGAGCAGTGTTGACGTGAAGGAGAAAAGATGTTCAGGCAGGAAGCCGAACGGAGTTGGTCATCGAATTTTTGCGGGAAGCTTCCAATCGCGCGGAGCTGCCGAGACTCCGCAAAAAAATCCCCCAACATCGAACCACCCCGGCTTGACAACCTTCCCCCGCCGATCACACGTCCAATTCGATTTCAATGAGGACTTCACCCAGTGGCCTTTGGGCCCGACGATCCTGGACCTGCATTCAATGCAGAGCCTCGTCCTCATCCGCGGGCGCGCAACTCCGCAAACCGAAGAACAATCTCCCCGATACCCCTGCGCGCACGCGTTTCGCTCCCTCGCCAACCGGATATCTTCACCTGGGTTCTCTTCGGACAGCGCTATTCAATTATCTTCTTGCCAAGCGGACCGGCGGCCAGTTCCTACTGCGTATTGAGGATACCGACCAGGTTGGTCTCCACATTCGGAATCAAATATGGACGACAGCTAAGAAACACAGAAACGGACAATCCCAGACGCAGAGCAGAGGCTATATGACGATCTACATTGGGCAGGACTTCATTGGGATGAAGGTAACTTCAAGCCAAGTTCGATTTGACGCATCTGCCCGAGCTAACCGGCGATGATAGGTCCTGTTGTTGGTGGTCAATACGGACCATATAGACAAGTGAGAGGCCATCCTACACTATGCCTTGAACATTACTGATACGTATTGCCTAGTCCGAGCGGACTGCTCTCTACCGAACTCACACAAACGATCTAATCAATAACGGCCATGCTTACCGATGTTTCTGCTCCTCCGAGCGGCTCGATTCCCACGCCCGCCATCGTAGTCAAGCAGGACTAGCACCCGGATACGATCGGAAGTGTGCCGATATATCTCATGAAGAGTCTGAAGACCGCGCGTTCAAGGGAGAATCACATGTGGTTCGGTTGAAGGTGGATGGATACCCCATGTTCAACGATCTCGTCTACGGCAAGACCGGACAAAACAAGCTCAACGTCAGCAAACTGGACTTAATCGACCGCGTCTATGATGACCCTATCCTGATGAAATCAGACGGGTACCCGACATACCATTTAGCTAATGTGGTGGATGACCATTGTATGAAGATTACCCACGTCATTCGAGGCACGGAGTGGATGCCATCTACGCCAATGCATATGGCACTCTATAATGCTTTCAAGTGGACACCTCCGCAATTTGGTCACGTTCCTCTTCTTGTCGATAAGAACGGACAGAAGCTGAGCAAGCGAAATGCTGACATTGACCTCTCCTCGTTTAAAGACAAACAAGGAATCTTCCCAGCTACATTGGTCAACTTTGCGGCACTCTTGGGTTGGTCTCATTCACAGAAGTCAGATATCTTCAATCTCAAAGAATTGGAGAACATCTTCAACCTGAAGATCACTCGGGGAAACACTGTCGTCGCATTCGAGAAGCTATGGTTCCTTCAGAAGGCCCATGCCCAGCGGTTCGCAGCTGATGGTGGACATGACTTCGATCAAATGGTGAACAGGGTTTCTACTATTGTTGAGGAAAGTCAGGCTCAAAAATTCCTTGCTGATATCTTGGAAGGCCGTGCACTCAACGAGTATGTCGCTCCTCTTCTGCGTGCCGATGCCAAGTCCTACACAACGGCTTCGGAGTTTGTGGAACGCAACTCCACCTTCTTTACCACAGAACTTGATCGATCCCCCTATACCCCTGCCTCTACTCCCATCGTGTCATCGGACTCGGCACCAAACCCCACGATCCCGATGCAAGCACTCCACACTGCTGCTGCGGCTTTCGCTCTCGTACCATCTGCTCATTGGACTGTGGAAACGCACCGCATGAACATCACTTCATATGACGGCTCCGAGTCTGTGGCACTGCCCACTGAGCTACAAGATGCTCCAATTGCACTGGATAAGCTCTTCAAAAAAGAACTGTACCACTACCTACGCTGGGCCCTTTCGGCTTCGGCGCCAGGACCTGGTATTCCCGAGACTATGGCTATTTTGGGACGAGATGAGACTATGCGCAGGTTGCAAGAAGCAAAGGCTCTGACCAAGTCCTTGATTCCAGAGACCGGTCGACGAGTTCCCAAGTCCTCTGCCAATAAGGAGAAGGATGCGGACAAGACTTGGATGGGTTCTCTGGCTCCTGAGAAACAATAAAAAACAACCTCGAGCAGCGGCCATTTGTACAATATGGTATACGCAAGATCTGTTTCCTCCAGGCTTGCAAGAAAACCAGTATGTTTAAATAGTTTGTATTTGTATATATGTTCGTTTTTCTAAACAGAAAATGCAACCCCGGGGCCATTCCTGAATAATCAAAGAAAAATGCGACTAATCACCTGCAGCGCCGAGCAATTACTATCCAGCTATGATACTCCAAAGCTTTCCATACCAAGTGGTCGGCATAGTGACCTCCCAATGCTGGGCCTCAACCTCCAAGCGCCCTGTATCAAGATCTGCCTGAAGGGGGGACACAAAAGCGTCGCGGAATATGAGCTTATGGCCAATCCACAGTACTGCAAACAAGATCACGCTGATATATGCAACGAAAAAGTTCTCCACGCTGAATGACGGAATCCAAGCTGTGAATCCCTGTGTGAAGATGATCAAAATGTTGACAAAAAGCCCATACCAGGCAAGATATGGTTGCAAAGGGGCCTTATAGGGAAGCACATCTCTGCTAATCTTGCGGGCCTTCAGAGCTCGCATGAACCCTATATGACACATATTCAGGGTGGCCCAGGCGATGAACCCGGCAACTGCCGAGATATTCAACAGCCAATTGAAGACCGTTGTTCCTGAATTGGAAACATTCAAAAATCCAAGAAGACCAATGGCTGAGGTGAGCAAGACTCCGTAGAATGGGACGCCACCCTTGGTAGTCTTGGTGAAAAAGGAAAAGGCAAACCCTTCCTGTGCCAGGCCAACAAGAATTCTGCTACCGCTGTAGACATTCGAGTTGGCTGCAGATAAAACGACGGTCAAAAGGACAGCGTTGATGAGACTGGGCAAAACCTTGACGCCTGCCAATTGCGCAGCGATGACAAATGGTGATGCTGCTGCGTTAGATGCACCTGACAGAAGATCCTTGTTATCATATGGCACAAGAAGACCAATAAAGAAAACTGTCAGAACAAAGAACAAAATGATACGAATGAACGTGATTTTGATAGCCTTTGGAATCGTCCGGCGTGGGTTCTCTGTTTCGCCTGCTGCGATACCAACAAGTTCCGTTCCCTGACACGAAAATCCGGCTTGAATGAGAACCGCCCAAAAGCCAACAAACTTGGCTGTTGGCCCAGGTGTTATCAAGTAATCGGCAAAAGGTCCAGGGTGAACCCAATTATGAAATCCAAGGTATCCCTGGTCACCAGCACCAGCATCGATACAGATGGCAAAGATCATGAATCCAATCACGGTGAAAACCTTAATACTCGAGAACCAAAACTCAACCTCGCCATAAAAGTTAACCGGTAGCATATTCAGCAGTGTCATCAACACCCAGAATACAGCTATAAAGATAGAGATTGGAATCGAGCTGTTCCAGTATTCGATAATCAAACCGACTGTGACCAGCTCCAAAGCAAACGTGATGGCCCATGAAAACCAATAAAGCCAGCCCATGGCAAACCCGAGACTTGGATCAACTAGACGTGTTGCGTAGGATGTGAATGCTCCGGAAATTGGTATGTAAGTGGCAATCTCGCCTAGCGAGGTCATCACGGAGAAAACGATAGTAGCGATGAAGATGTAGGCGATGAGCGCGCCGACTGGCCCTGAATGCGCCAGAGCAGTTCCACTTCCAATGAATAGACCAGTTCCGATGGTTCCACCTGTATTTAAACTGGTTAGTATATTATTGCTACTTCTTTGCAAGCTCAGCAACCCACTAACCAATTGCAATCATATGCAAGTGCCTGCTTTTCAACTTGCGCTTCAGTTGCGGCGAGCCGCGGGGCTCTCCGGGCGCAACCTGTTCGACATTGCTAAGTTCATTGGTAGGCGAGAAAAAGGCAAGATTCCCCTTGGAAATGGTCGTGTCATCCTTCTCCACATCGGTCATGATGCTTGTGGGCTTGTGGGGAAGGTGATCGAGGCAAGAATAATGGAGGAGTGCTTCAACGGTGGAGTACAAGAGGAAAACCAGGAACAAGAGGGGGTCAATGGATTTTTTTTTCCTCTATTTCCCCGAGGAAACCTGAACAGGCCTCGGCTTTAGAGCCCCAAATTAATCTAAAGGATTGGTTCAAGAGCAAGGATTTTGAATTCGAGGCTAAATGCTTGGCCGCAGACCGTCCCTGGTCAATCGCTTTCTACAGGAAGCCACTCCGATCCCATCTCATCCAATCCCAATAAACCTCTCAAATCCTGTTCTAACAAACCAATTTACGGCTCAAGTAAGATCATTTTTGCTTGTCAATTGTAGAATCCCCCGTCTGACACTCGTATTGCCCGCGTGCCCCCTAATTCTCCGACCCCGCATGTGCTTTCTCGCCCGCACTGCCCTATCTGTTTTAGTCTCCCCTCCGAACGGCTAACCTCGCTAAAATCACCTTCCTGTCTCGCTTTTTCGCCGGACCTCCTAGAAAGGGTTTAGGCTGGGAGTACTACCAGAGTTTAAAATATGTGGCCATCGCGCGTTATCATGAAGTCGGGCAAGGTTCTCTCCCAACCTTACATTCTTTGACCATCTACCCAAGTCCAACGTGGGGTTATCGCGTACATTTTCTCATATAACCTGTCTTATCCAGTCTAGCTTGGTCACGGCATGGTATTTGTGATCATAGGATATAAGAATTAGGATTTTTCATTGTGTTGTTTCCGTTCTATAAAGACCAAATGGTCACCTATTAATTTACTCACTCACTCGCCTTCATCGACACTTTTTGCCCGGTATTCTAGATTAATTTAGAACCTCCTCCGACTCAAGATGGTTTTCATAGCTGAAAAGCCATCTTTCGTCCGACTAGATGCCACCAACCCCTCTACAACACCAGCACAAGTCATTGAGGTCCTCGAACGCGAAGGAGGCGTAATCATCGAAAACCTCATCTCTAAAGAGCTGGCGCAACAAATCAAAACAGACTTAAAACCCCACTTTGACGGCGATACCCCAGACAAATATGGCTTTTTCCCTGAGACCACTCAGCGAGCAAGCGGCTTGCTGGGTGTCTCCGACGCATGCGTTGAGCTCGCATGTAATCCTCTCTATATCAACGTGGCCAATGCCATGGTTTCATCTAGCTACACCTTCTGGAGAGGAGACCATCAAGAGACCGTGAGCGGTAAACCAATTATTTCTTCCACAGTCGGATTCCGGGTGAATCCCGGAGGTCGACAACAGGTCCTGCACCGCGATGATAAGTAGGTTCAGCCCTACGCCGCCTCATTTCTGTGTGACCCTGCTAACTATAATGACAAGTGATTACCACCCCAGCGACAAGAAGCTTCCTGTGATGATCGGTTGTGTGACTGCTTTGACTAAGACAACAAAAGAGAATGGTGCCACGATTGCCATCCCCGGATCGCATTTATGGGGGCCTGAGCGACGGCCTCTAGATGAAGAAGCTATCCCGGCAGAGCTTGAACCGGGCGATGCACTGATATTCTTGGGCAACACCTATCATGCTGGAGGATCCAATGTCACAGAGTAGGTTCTGTCCTTGCATCTATCAGTCTCGCTTCGACACACTAACCTGCCTTGTTATAGGAACGACTATCGAGAAACGGTCGGCATATTTCTCTGCCAGCCTACTTTACGTCCTGCTGAGAACCAATTTTTGATGATACCACTTGAGAGAGTCAGGAAGCTGAAGCCTCAAGCACAGAGGCTTCTGGGGTATGGACTGTGTGAGCCTGGCGTCGGATTTATGAACTATTCGGATCCCATGAGGGTCCTATTTGGTGTGGAGGACGAAGAAACCGTCAATATGTGATGAATTCAAACTTATCAAGAAAGGGATTATTCATCTACTGGAGTATTTTTCCTGACGGTTTTCTAGTCAGCGGACTATTCACCGTCCCTTGGGTTCCACATTTACTAATTCATACCAAGAGCACATTGTTGTATGCCATCATATGAGTATCTAGCATATCAAATCAGAAAGAACGAAATGGAAGATAATGAAAAGACCAAAATGAATTTATCTATTTAACCAAGAAGCTTTAATCACAAACAAATAATGTAAATTAATCTATACTGTTTCCCTCGGGATGGCCGATAAGTCGTGCGGGGTAAAAACGAGGAGCAACCGTTTGACGGCAATTAGTTAGATTAGAGTAGCATCATGACTTCGGCACTTGTCTTCATCCTTGACTCAGAATCACCAAGTTTTCGAAATTCCCAACTGGTAGCGATGCCGTCTTACACAGGAAAAGCCAGGAAAAACGTTCGGATCGACCTACTCCCACCCGATCGTCGACTGGCATCAAAAGGTATGCAAACCCTACTCTTGAACACATGCAGCGGAACCGCGACTAATAAGCCCCAGATTGCCGCTGCTGCATTAAGCGCCGCATCAGGTGCGATCGGACGATCCCTCAATGCCAAAAATGCCATATTCGTGGACTTTGCTGTCCTGGCTTTCCTGTTCTTCATCTGAGATGGGATCAAGGCGTTGCTAGTCGTGGACACCTGACAGGCAAAAAAGTCCCTATCTTGAGGGAGCAGCATGCGACCAAAAAGCATGATTCCAACACTTTTGAGTATTTGGCCTCGTCTGAAACGAGAGGTTCTCTCTCACCAACGAGCCTGGACTTGGTGAACCAACAACTCTCGAGTTCACTGTCCGAAAAATTACTCCAACACTTCTTGTCGAATGTCGCAGTTCGATTGACATGGCTCGATGGTCCGGGGAATCCATGGAGAAGTCTTGTTTTTCCTTTAGCAAGTCGATCATCGTGTCTTCGTCTTTCGATACTCGGTCTTTCCGCTGCCCATTTCTCTGCCATAGCCACCGAGCATGATCAATCAAGCATGATGGAAGTCAACACCCGGATTAGAAACCAAACCCTCAAAGTTCTGAGCGAGAAGATGCGATTTGAGCTCCACAAGACTTCGTTTGACACGACACCCGGAGACTCCTCTCTAATCGAGACCCTCGCCTCGATGGTCGTCCTTTGTTATGGAGAGATGCACATCCCCGGATCAACAGATTGGAAACTACACCTCCGCGCCTGTCGTGCTATTATTGAAAGACACGATCTGCAAAGGCTATACCAAAAATCCCAAAATAATATTCTCAAGTTCTTCATCAAGGAAGTCGTCGACCTAGAGACGTTTGGCAACGTTTCGGTTTTTGCAACGGACCTCACCACAAGAGAGTACATGTCCGAGTCCCCGACATCTAACGATCAACCCTGGACCTTCACGGCCCTTATCAATGACATTACCGTGGCCGAAAGGTCACAGCACGATAGCCACAGTGCTCTCTGTACCCCTGTCTTGAAGAATGTAGACATGCGGTACTGGTACGTCAAAACACTAAGCGCATACGACAAAGCCACATCTATGAACACACTCCTAGCCACAGACAATAAATCCACGGTGACACCCTTCCACGCCATCATCGAAGCACATTACCACGCATGTCTACTTTACAGCTACCAAGCCATGATGCCGCAGGCGAGAGAATCCGGAGAACTACAATCAATCTTCAATTCTCTATGGCAAATCGTCGGATCGCTAGCTACTAGTCCATCTCTCCAATTTGCCCACGACATCTTTTTTCCTCTCTTCATTACTGGGACGGAGTGTCAGACACGAGATCAGCGCTCCCAGATCGAGGCGCTATTCATGCAATCGATATCTGAGACTGGTTTCTGGTGTAATTATTCGGTCCTGCAATTTCTTCGTCTGTTGTGGTTCCAGACCGACGGGGAAAGGGAGAAGAACTGGATTCAATTCGCCAGGCTAAATAAAGCAAGGATTAGCACCTTCTGTGTTTTCTAGGTTCAAGTTGGAAATGAACATTTGTATACCTAGGTACAAAGATATTACATAATTACTGCAGATCACTAGAAGTTGGAATATTGTGATATTTCATCTAATCCAAGTTCTACTTAGAACAATGGGAAGAGAATGCAGTTTGAATGATATGATATTATCAGAATGACAAGCAGGCACTGTACGGCGCTAGAAGTAAACAGATAAGACAGTCGCACTAAGACGACGCAGCAAGGAAATCCAACCCCGCACGATCGGGAGCCAGAAGAGGGAATAAGTAGACCGTAAGCACCGAGCCGTAGCAAGACAAAAGCAAAAATAAACCATAAGACAGACGAATAGATAACGCCATGCCAGAATAACCAGAGAAATAACAGAAATTAAAAAAGAGCCCGTCCAAGGTTGAGAGAGAAACTCTGTCGTGAGGAGAACGATGTCGGGAAAGAGACAAAAAAAACCACCCTCGAGCAACAGAAGGAAATTTCCACTGCTGTGGACTGGAAAAGCATCGACAGAAGAAAACAAGAGCATAAACAGGATTGACATGATGTGCATCGTAATTTTGAACACGAAGGAAGAGTGAAATGGGCGTATGTCGATAGTGAATGCATGTGGGAAGACACCAGCCCGATTAGGGAGTCTGGGAAAAGCTCATTCGTAAGGGATCGTCAATATCCGTCATGAGCCATGAGCTGTACAGAATCCAGTCATGGGATCGTCAAGTAAGCCAAGCGATTGCGTAACCACAGCTCAATGTTCGAAAGCGCCAAACATAAGAGAAAAATGTTCCAGGGAATTGAAATGCAGCAAGCGTCAGAATGTCAAGATAGAGTAAATAGAATACGCTTTTTGGCGATTAGTACGTCTCAAACTCGTCGGCCCATTCACTGTCGCTACCTGCAACACGAAGGACTTGACCAGGGTGAGGTCCGTCAGGGCTGACACTGCGGATGCCCTTGCTCTTCTTGCCCAAAAAGTCCATGCTGTCATCGGGGGCAAAGCGCTTGCCATGAGGCGCACGTATCTTGCCATAGTAAACATCGCTGGTGTCGGCTTCCGCGTCGGATGCATCATCAAAGGTTTCCCAGTTCTCTGAACCGGAAATAGTGGTGTTTCCAGCTGATGAGCTCGATGTTTGACGAAGGGCAGGGGGAGGTGGAGCGTGTGAAAGGTAAGGGTTGGCCCGAGGGTAATTCTGAGACGAATTCAATGATAGAGACGACAAAGACGAGTGAGAAGAGTGAGATATTCCCATCTGGCGGTGGTTGGACATGACGGAAGAGCTCATGAAAGACCGCTGGCGGTCATCATAAACGTCTTCGGGGCTCACGGGACGGACAAATGCACTCGACATAGCGCTATTACAACGAGGCGGCTCCATCAGATGACTATTGCGCTCCTTTGACTCGACAGTCAATGCACGCATTCTCGGGGGAGGTCCACGGGGAGGCGGCATCTTTCCATTGATGGTGCTGGAGGAGTAATTGCCAGGCCCAGTACGGCGTTCAGGAGAGTTGTTTCCATGAGGCATGTTGCTCAATGGAGCACGAGCTGGAAGCTTCGAGGGAGACTTGGCTCCAGATCGAGCCCCAGAGTAGCCAATAGTGTTATGCTTCACAGGGCCACTTCCATTGGGAGTCTTGGTAGCAGAACGAGGGGGAGGAGGGCCCCGCATAGAGCTGCCAGGTCGAGACACCGGCTGTCGGGCTGCGCTAGATTTAGTTGTAGAGGGAGGGGCGGATGGGGTCTTCGAGCGTGGCGGCGGCATTCTTGAGGCGGGTGCAGGAGTCAAGCTGTCAAGATAGCGGTCTCCGTGAACCAAGAAGGGCCGTCCATACTCGTCCTCCCAACGCTCCAACTCTCTACGCAGATCGGCCTCGAGTTTAGGAAGCTCCTTTGCAATGCGCTTTCGCATTTTCTCTTCGCGCAGAAGCTTGCCAGGGTCTCGCTTCTCACCCTTGTTTCCTCGGGCCATCAAACGAGAAGCATCTTGGCTTGAAGATGAGAGAGCGTCACGATCTGCAAGAATACCACGGTGTCTGTCAATCATCTCAAGCGTGGGTGCGCGCTGATCCTTGAGTGTCTGCAAACGAGCGATCTCAGCCTCGTGGGCCTCTAGAAGAGCGTCACTGCACACGTCAGAGAAAGCGGGTGTAAAGTCGAGCATCTCCTCTTCGGAAAAGAAGAGAGTATCCCAGAGCTCTTGTAGGCGACAGCGGGCATCTTCAACGAAGAGATGCATATTCTGTCTCTTCAACTCATTCAGGCGGGCCAGCTCTTCTTCGAATTCATTAATCGTGCGAAGACCGCAGCCACGGTTGGTTGCGAGGAAGGCCTTTCGATCGGCTTCTTCGACCCCAAAGCGCTCCCATAGACTTTCGACATTGGTTCGGATCTCCTTGATCTTGCGCTCACGGCCCTTCTTTTCCTCCACCAACTTGTCGCGTCGTGCCATCAGGTTACCGAGGTCGGCCTCATGAAGGCCAAGCTGCTCGGGGGATTCGCGGTAGCACTTAACGATGTTGGAATCAGTTTGTACTTGCGGGGTACCCAGCTCCGCCCAGAGCTTGATAATCTCCTCGCTGGTTGTTTGGACATAGGACACGCGACGGTGGTACTCCTCGTAGACACGGGTGAATTCTGAATCGAGGGCTGTAACATATGAAGGCGACAAGTCGAAGCTGGGTGGAATGGTCGAGCCAGGCGCAGTGGGGGGGCAATTCAATATGAAGAAATGATGTTTCAAGATGAGATGAGTAGGACTCCAGAGCGTCGACAAGTTCTGTCCAGGTCAGCAAACGATGCGCAATAGTATTTGGGATTGAAACCACCCACTTTTGACCTGTTCAAATCTTTCGCGGTGGAGCTTGCTCATGCCGTCGTTCTTTTCGCGCAAGAAGGCAATACACCGGTTGAGGGGGTAGGTAACGCGCAAATCATCACGGTTAAGCTCGTATTGGCCATTGGCCCTTTCATCGCCCAATGAGGCTTCCATTTGTTGGATGGCTGTGATGAGGCGTTGGGCTTCTAGTGTCATCTCCTCTTTCTCTCTTTAAGTGGGCTTTGTTAGCGACGGAGAAGGAAGGGGGGGGTGTTCACCGTGTTGAACTTACTCGTCAACAATCTTAAGGTGGTTATTTAATGTTTCTGACAGCGCGCTGAAAAGCTAGATATTTAATCAGTCTCAGGTTCACACGCTGATGTGTATGTGCTCGAGTTCTCGCTTACCTCTGCTTCGCGCGAGTCGCGCTCGCGAGCAGGCACTCCAATATCGTCGAAGATGCCATGCAGTTGCTCAACGATATTGTTGACCTGAGTGGTCAGATAACTTGTGTCAACCGCCATGGCTAGGTAAGACCCTGTCGGGCAGCGAGGTTTTCAAGTATGAATCAAAGAATGTGTCTCCAACGACGGGATGAGTGTCGGCACTGCGACTGCGCCGAAGGGATCAAAACAAACGAGCCCAATTCGTTGGGAGATGTGCGACACACGGCGAACAAAGAAAAAAATGAAGGTAAGAGTGGTCAGTTGCAAGACATGGGGATGCGGAATGCAGCGGTGGTGAGTGTTTATGAGGGGAAGGGCAAGGCTGGACCGCAGTGATAACAGAACAGGTTCATCGTCCCGTCCGCGTTTCCCTGTTTGGTCCGATCGTCTCCAGGGGCAACCAGTATTCACCGCCCTGTTTCTGCCGTTTTATGCCCCACACCGCATCGGGGGGGGCTCCTCCATCTTCAAGCTACCCGGTCCATCTTCCCCTCTATAGTCTCATCCTTTCCCCCGCGCTTTTCGTTGATTTACCCCCCCCTCGCCTGAAACTCCTACTCAATTTTTCAATTATCCAACTCAAAGGTTCCATATTGAAATTTGAAAAAATGCAGGCTGCACAGCAGTCCTGGGGTATGTGGTTCACTCTTCAATGAAGAAAGCTGAAATATCAATTTGGCAAAGGACTAACCAAAGTGTACTGGCAGAGCTTGAAAACTCCATCAGCATCTTCGATCCGCAGCGTGATGCCCTTTATCAATACGATGAAGAGACTCAAAAAACCCTCAATGCCCAGCGACCGTGGGCCTCAGACCCTTACTATTTCAAATCAGTACGCATCTCCGCAACCGCACTATTGAAAATGGTCATGCACGCTCGCTCGGGCGGGTCTTTGGAAGTGATGGGTCTGATGCAAGGCTACATCCTCCGGGAAACATTCGTCGTGACCGACGCCTTCCGCCTCCCCGTCGAGGGCACCGAAACCCGGGTCAACGCCCAGGACGAAGCGAACGAGTACATGGTATCATATCTGCAGTCGTGTCGAGATGCGGGACGCATGGAGAATGCTGTGGGCTGGTACCACAGTCACCCAGGGTACGGGTGCTGGCTATCCGGAATAGACGTCGCGACCCAACAAACGCAGCAAATGACCGGGCCGTTTGTCGCCGTTGTGATCGATCCCGAGCGCACGATCTCCGCGGGCCGCGTTGAGATCGGCGCATTCCGCACTTTCCCCGATGGCTTTACCCCGTCCAAGGAGGCTCAGGAAGATGATGAGTATCAGACCATCCCGCTTGGCAAGTCGGAGGACTTTGGCGCACACGCGAATCAGTACTATTCGCTCGAAACGACACATTTCAAGAGCACGCTCGAGACGGATATATTGTCTTTGTTATGGAACAAATACTGGGTTGCTACTCTCAGCCAAAGTCCACTGTTCGCCTCTCGTGACTATGGAAGTAAGCAGATGATGGATCTCAGCGAGAAGGCCCGGAAGGCGACTCGGGCAATTGAGGCCAGTGGTCCGCGGGGCGGAGCTACCACGGTCAAGGATCAACAACTTGATAAGGTTGTGCGCGGAGGACAGCGGATCGTATCGGAGGAAGTCAAAGGTCTCTTGGCCTCCGAGGTAAAAATGAAGCTCTTTCAAGACATCGGGGATAAGCCTGCGCCAGCGGCTTAATTAGGGGCAAAGCCGTTTGGCAAAGGTCCTTGATGACATAGATACCGCTACGATTGTTACGTTTCCCTATCTTTGAACTTCATATTATGTCCCCGGCGCTTAGCGAGTCGATTTTTCATTGCTTCAAGATTACCATATCCTAAGAACAACTTGAACTGCCAAGTATTATGAACTTGGCAGCTCTGCCGTGAATAAAGACAATTTCATATACCAACCACTGCCAACCGGCCATTATTTCATACCTATCGCATAAATAACTACCCTTCAGTGGGTTTAAATTCCTGAAAGATACTGGTAATGTTAGAAAATACTAGTGAAATAATTTGTTAAATTTTCATCTGCAACTTGTGATACAGATGGTAAATTCTAGACCCGCACCCCACTGCCAGCCCTAGCACCGAACAGGGAAGAGGAGTAGGTGACAGGTCAGATTTATGTAGGTATGAATGGATGCAGTTGAGACGCTCAATCAAGGCCAAGAAAAAATCTTTCAAAAAAAAAATGCTTCTGTTGACCCGTTTCACAATCGGACCCAGGGTATAGTATCGAATGAATATTGAAACAAAATAGATACAAAGAAGCCAATCAATGGTTGAGGGTTGTATTGAATCTCTGCTCCGATGATTGCCAGTTGAAGAAATTGAGAAAGAAGAAAAAAACCCTTCTGACACGCAGAGGGGACTTGAGAGTCGTGATATATCATTAAAGGTGGCATCCAAACATTAACTCGGGATATAGCTCACCCACTCCTTCGACAAATGAGAAAGCATATGCGGAAAGTGACAGGGTAGAGTAGTCGGGGGGACAAAGAAAATCAGGTGAGCGAATGGCCAAGAAATACACCGCAAATTGACCAGAATGTGCGACAGTTGAAGGAGATTGGAGAGAAGTGAGAGTCGGGTTAGTGAACGGAGTACCCCGGGATCAAGGGTTCCGAAGTAAGGTATTGGAGAAAATGGGGGTGTTCCCCGTTCGAGTTCCCGGAGATGAGATCTATAACGGGAATAGTAGGTGTATTGGATGCAGTAAGTAAGGACCCCGCATTGTACAGCGATGGATAAAATCATGCATGAGGGGAGGACAACTGCGTGTGAGCCAGGTTCACGAGAAGATGGCCCTCGGGTTCCGAAACGATCCCCCACTAGAGTTCCAGACAAAGCAGCAGTGGTAGGCGGCCATCAAAGACATCGGATGACGGCTTACTGGTATGGCATGTTCCGGCGGCGTGTTTGGCGTGGACGATCTCGGGTGGCGGAGCTTGTGCGGAGATTGATTAATTAATATTCGGCACGGTCGCAGGATCCAGCGCCCCCCCCCCCTCCCCCAAAAGGGGCTGCCAACAGCATGTGTTAGCTGCGGGACGGTGAGACACATGATTGCCCGAGTTGGCGAGGTCGTCTATCCCAGAATCCTGATTGGATGAATTCGAATGCAAATCGGCGTGGCATCGGGTGGACCACGATATCGGATGGCGACGGGCGCCCGCAGGTTGCAGGGGACAGGGGTCTCCGCCACATCCTACAGGAAACCTGACTCTGAGAGCAATCTACGCGGTTCAGAATCAAAGGCGGTTAGTCTCATCTCAAACAAAGTTCAAAACGTTGCCTTTCTTGCTCCCAAAAAAGCAATTCAAAAAAAAGAGAAAATATGAAATATGAGGTCAAATTTGGGTATCGCCGAAACAAGCCAGACACCATGTCCAGGAGTAAACCAAACCAAAAAAAAAAAAGCAAAAACAAAACAGGCTGGAAAATATCATCGCAAAATGGCGACGGTGCTTGCAAAAAGCAAGGAGCCTTTCTCTCTGTGTGTGGTTTCAGCATACCTTGCAATCTTTTCATCTTCGCGCTCCCGGGGTTCGATTTCGAGACTCCGGTCATACATGTCGTGTACGTCACCCGCAGATTGGAGGTTACTGAGGATATAATCCTGAAGCTCGGGTACGGGTTGAAGGAGATATGGGACGTTCTGGTATTGTTGAATGTCCCGGATAACTTCGGCGGTCTTCGCCCGCTTGTTGAAGTTGATTAGCTCCGACGGTGTCAGTGAAGGGATACCGTCTTCGATAAAAGTCAAGTCCGTAAGATAGACACCTAGAGAAGGATATGTAAGTCACAAGGCTCCAAATCATACTTGGAGACCTCCAATGCAGGTCTGTGCCTGGCCAGCAGGTGGTGTGTCATACCGAAGAATGGAATACAGGGGGGGGTTCGCAAGATGCAAGGTCTCACGGTATTCGCCAAAGTTCTTGGTGCTTGCCATGAGGCGACGCATCTGCTCTAAGATAGCAGATGTACGACCACTGACCTGGCCCCACGTACGGCCTAGTCGATGGATAGGGGCAGTTCCAAGTGCGGAAATTATGGATGTCAAAGTCGAATAGTTGTTGAGAGTGCGGCATCGCTGCATCATCTTGTTAGTGCCACGACAAGGGTAGGGCGGGGAATAGTGGATCAACGTACATCAGCAACATTTACAAAGTGTTTGATTACTACCACGCGCTTCTTGACGTCACCTTGCATCAAAATCATCTCCGCAACCCAGTTTGTCAACTGATTAGAGTGCAGAATCAAGGCCTTAACGTTAGAAGCCGGTTCTGGTTCACCGGGACCGACCTTCTTCTGCCATGTTTTGTTCAGACACTCGGTAGGTTTGATCTTGGAGTAGAGGCGTGACTCAATGATTGTCAACTGCCGAGCAAACTCCGTAGGATCGATGTCCAGGAATTTAAGCTTCTTCATGTTCTTTGGAATGATCGGCTGCGGGGATGCAGTGTTCTGGGTGGGGACAAGACGCTTATTGGTTGTGTCTTGGCCACGGAGGCGTTGCTCGAGCACTGCAATTAATGCAGGGGCACCTGGGGTTTTGGTCGTGGCGATAGAATCCTTGGTAAAGTCATGAACTCGTTGCATGAGATCCATGTTCACTTCATCGTTTGGCTCCATCCAGAATTGATCGAACCAACTCTTCAAGATGTTAACAACTCGGAAACGGATAGGCTTTTGCTTCCGGTCAATCCACATTTGCATGTCTTCAGCGGTTAAGCCAAATGGAGGCTGGATATTAAAACGCTGCACGAGCATCTCAAATAGCTCCGAAGCAGTGGTGAATGAGCGATAAGTTAGGAGGAAAGTATTATTGAAGGATGCATCCAGCTTGTCATGGCGGGTGAGATGTTCGACCAATCCAGATAGGGTTCCGCATTTGAGAATCGGCGTGTCATTCTTCGTGTCGTGGAACACCTCGCCCTCGTGGTCCATCTTCAAGAACCACGGTGTCTCTTCAGGTTCCTTGACGGGCTCCCGAGAAACTGGCTCACGAGTGATGGCTGCCGGGGGTGCCTGACCAAAGAATCTCTGAGCCTTGTCCATGTTGCGGCGCACCTTTTCGGTTC